TTTTTGGTCTCAGAGATTGATGTATTGTACGAGAGTTCTAAACGGGCAGAGGCGGTTGCCTACTTGTTGCACGGCTACCACAGGTGTACTCTTGTATTTCCTGTCCGCTTTGTGGTACGGGAGAACATAAGATGCCGCCTCCCCTTTCAAGGCAATTTGGACAGAGGAATGTCGGATGGATTTTCTTGAGTTACGAAATTTGATGATGTCGGGTGTTACAAGTTTGCCGAGGTGATGTAAGGCCACGAACCCTAACGCGAGGATGAGGTTAAATAGAAGGTTGTCAAAGGTAGAGTTGAATTTGTTTGACGCTATTTCAAGGTCAAGGAGGGAGAAGGGTGGGGCTTGCTTGGACGGGGTCGAGAATTGTTTCTCGCACCCGACGATTGAGTTTTTGATTTTGTCGCTGCTTCTGATGGTCACTACTTCTGGAAATTCTTCTTTGAAGTTGCGAACTATTCCTGTGAGGTAGGTTTTGACAGTGCCTGGTTTGACTTCCCTTCCCACTACTGAAATGAAGTGGGCGAGGTGAATCTCAGAAGGGACGGCAGGTTCGATTTTTTGGCTGGAGCAGAACACAAAGAATCGCCGGACTCCGCATTTGTATTTTGCTAGCAAAGATGGTTCGAGGCAATGTTTCCTATCCAAAGATTTCATGGTTTCTCTTTCTTCAAATGAGTATTCTTGGGTGATGAATTTTTTAGACGGCATGGTGGAAAGTTGGCGATTATTGAAAGATAAGGCAGATAGAAACAATTTTTTGTAAGAGGGGTTTAGCTTTTTCCAGAGAGAATGATGTTTGAAGGAATTAATCAGTTTTAGTAAGAGGTGAAAGTTGTGGGAGGTCACTTTGCTCGACGTATGCCGCCGTCGAGGTGTTTGGGAATGGGTGGGAGGGTCTTGTGTACGCGCGTCGGAGGAGCTCCCTCGTCTGAGATGATTTTTTGCCATGAAAGTTTGTCTGCTATGACGTTTCGTTCACCGGCCACGTGCCTGACAACAACGTTGAGAGAATTATCTAGTATTGCTGTAACTGCGTGCCTGAACAGTACACGCGTCAGGTCAGTTGGTGAGTGGGATCCAAGCAGATAACAGACTGATTTGTTGTCTGTAAGAATCAGAATCTTCTTCGCTTTTGACAGCACCTCTGAGTCTATAGCTAACACCACCACTAAGAGCTTGGCCCAATAATTGTCGCAAGCTGGTGGGGGAAGGAACAGATCCCAGGTTTTGTTCGATTGTGGATTCCAAATGCCGATGCCCGTAGGGCAGGCGTCACAGAAAAAGGTAGCTTCTGCCAGATGCAGTTCCCAGTAGAAGGATTCCATGATCAGTCTGCTGTTCCACGCTTCCAGCGAATCAGCAAGCCAAGATAGGTCCTCTTTAGTTGCTTTGTTAAGGGGGACGTGGGTGTTTCTCATATTATTCCCTGCAATTTTATCCCAGGATGATTGAAGAGACCATCTACCTAACGGAAAGGTGTTTAACGCCCAGTTTGCTCAGCCTGTAAGCCGTTGCCACTCGACTAGGGGCTGAGAGGTTGAGGAGGCAAAGGATCGGAGTTGTTCCACTAGGGCTGATTTCTTTTCTTTGGTGAGGGATATGATCATGGTATTGCTATTGATTAGATGCCCAATCACAGCCCCCAATCACAAGTGACTGGCAGCCCAGTACATCCCGGCGACCTCAACAAGTTTTCAATTTGTTTTCAATTTGTTTTGAATAGGTTGTTGAACTAACATTGCACAGTCTTTGACAAGTTTTTGGTTGACCAGTTATCACATATATCTTGACTGGTCATTGTAATGTTCTTGACTAGGCATGGACCATATCTCCACAAGTGGTTAACCTGATCTTGAATATATATATGAGTCATAATGAGCTGACATAATCAATTCCCCATATGCATCCTTTCCAGCAGCACAGGTGAAGTCCAGATATAATGCCTCTCAAAATCATAGATACAAATTGGCATCATCTACAAATCAAGAGTGTTCAAACAGAATGGATACCCTGGGTCAGACCATTTACATCATCCTATGACCGTTCAGCAGCAATCATCCATCCATATCCATGCTATCATCCTCATCTTTGCCTTGCACAAATCCCTGGTCAAACCACAAAAGTCAGTCAAAAGCAAAAATCCCAATCAATTCAAAACTCACCAGATTCATCAATTCAACTGTTGAGAGTGTTTTGCTTTGAATTTCAAAAGTCCCTTTTTCATTCTTGATGACAACTAGCTGCCCAATGACCTTGTTGCACTCAATGACATGATATCCTCCATGCTTGTCATATAGCACTGAGGCATTCAGCAAGTCTGGCAAAGAATAGTACGGACTTTTGCATTTGTCATCATCAGAAAGAGGTATCAATGAATTGACAACAAGGAGTGGATGTTCAGAATTGGGAAGCTTGATAATATCCGTGATACAGCCTTTCCTTTTACATGAGTTGTGGAAATATGAGATGTAGCTATTTCCAGGTGTCTTCTTGTAAGTGCTATGTGGCTTGTTCAAAATGAGGATCCTTGTGGTCACATCAAATTTTGAGCGTGCAGTGTACTCTGCCCCTATATGACCATTTTTTCGAAGGGTCTCAAAGGCAATAGGACTGAGTTGTCTTTCTTTCCACGATGTCTGACGCTTTCTTAAGAGGTATTCTCCAATAATAGAATCATTCTCAAAGGCGGTGTGATTGTTATTGATCATGGCTTGGAAGAAGCTACGTCTGGAATAGTGCTGAAGTAACGACTCGCCCTGCCGTTCTAGTCATGGAAAAAGGACTTCAGCTGAGTGTTTATATGCCCAATTTTGAGATAAAGACATACCCTTCTTGCCATTTTTACGTGCTGCAACTAGGCTACCAATGATCCGCTCACCTGCCCAGCTAGCCATATAAGCAGGCGGCCCAAGAAGTGTTGAAATGGAGCCTATGTGTTCAGCAAAATGCAAATTGGGCTTTTTCATCATATGGGGCCATCCATCCCCAAGGATTGCTTGGTGCTTTTCAACCAACTCCGTGAGCTTTTCTCCGTCACCACTTTTGAAAGATCACAAAGTACATATGTTACCAATCTGAATGAGCTGCAGGAGGCAGTCAAGTATTTTGGAAGAGGTCTCTCCAGCCTCTCCAGAGCTGAAATGTGGTACCCAAGCAAGTACTATATAGACTTTGAATAGATATTGCCAGTCTGCTGCTTTGGGGGTACCAGCACTGGCCATTCCAAAGTTAGGCTTGGGTCGAGTGGTCCAAGAGGGGGCAATGGCATGTTCAAGGCAGTGCTGAAGCAAATCCAGTTCATAGGGGGTGACTGATGGAACAATAGCAGGTACAGGTGGTGGGGGTGTTGGAGATTGTTCCACTCTTGCGCGCTTCTTCCCTTTGATTGTGCGGTCAGATCCACCTGAAGACAATGGGAAGTTATGAAGGTCCAACGGTGCTGCGGATCTAGCTTTGTGCAAATGGTGTGATCGCGGTTTAAGTAAAGACTTGCCCTGCTGTTCTAGTCATGGGACAACGATCTTGATAGGTCAGATGTTGAAATGGAGACATCCACTGATTTCTGTTTTTTGTGCAGCAAGTTGGCTGTCAGTTAAATTATCCAAAAGCAAACTGGGTGTTTCCATCAAGGGTGTCACCTTGGCCTGACATGCTAGAGCTACTCTGATCATTCAATCACTCTTGAAAGGAATGTGAGAGTTATGGATGTGGAGCTTCCATAGCTGTCAAACACTTGTTCAACACTCAGTTGAGATCTTGCCAGTGACTGATCAGCATTTGTATGATGACTGGAGAAGATCTCTATGATAACTGGTTGAGACATGGTACACAACATATTGAAAACATCTTAAAAAAAACTAAAAACAATTTAAGAACATATTGAGGTCATCGGATGTACTGGGCTGCCAGTCACTTGTGATTGGGGGCTGTGAATGACCTCCAGTTTAGCTCCCCAAATTTGCTTCTCCCAAGCCCAAGGGATTCCCAGGAAGTCGAATAGGCTGAGGAATTTGGCTTGATTAAGTGGAATCAGGTGAGCTTTCAAGGAGACCACCTCCTCTGTGCAGCAGGCTCCCCAGGAATCGTCCATATAGGAGTTGATACCCTTGATTCCTAGCTCGTAGAATGCAATCCATAAGATGAGCAAAAAGAAACTGCACCATATTTTGGGGGAGCTGGCGCATCCAAAATTTACGCAACGGTCTATGTGATTCATGTCGTCTATGCGGATTGCCTGGCGAAGTTGCCACTGACAATGCATCCCTAGAATCCAGAATGCTGAGTCCATGTCTGATTTCCATATCAGAATTTTCCTGGGCCTTGGCCTCTGTTTTCGAGTCTAGATGAATTTGGTGTTTTCAATAGAAGGAATACTGTGCTGCTTTTTCAAATGTAGTAATGACGGGATGAAAGAGGGGATTGAATCAAGCTTTATTCGGATTTGGTTTCTGTTGATGAGCTCGTTGGGCCCCGGATTTCCGTAGCTCATGTTGGTACACATTTGAGTTTTTCCGGAATTCTTGTTTGTTGCCAAGCATAGAGGAGCGGTCTTCATGCCCCTGAATGGTGAATGAAATCCTTCTGAAAATCTCCCTAATTTGACTTCCTTGTCTCTTGTTTTTCGCAGAATCGCCAGACCCTCTGGGGTGTGAACGTGATTGTTGTGCTTCACGGTTTTGTCAGAGGGTAAGGAAGACATGGGCCAAAAGCCTTCTGAGACACCCTTCAGTATTGACTCAACAAACAGCTGATTGGGATGTGAGGCTGTGAGGGTTCTAATTCTGGACGCTTTGATTGGGCATACGACTTTAAAGATGTCTGGACTTTTTTGTATTGCGTAAGCTGCTAAGGGATCTGAATCGAGTGGAGGAGCTGATGGTAACGGTTTGGCGTCTAAAGAGAAGTTTACAGATGAGGAATAGTGGGAGGCGTCTTCTTCCAATTCTAAATTCCTGAGGAATTTTCGTGCGTTAGGTCTATTGGTGTGTGATGCCTCCTCAATGATCGGCATTGCATCCCACTTTGTTGCATACTTGATGTTGTTGCTTGCAGTCACCGTCCTCATCCATCTTCCACAAACTGGTGTCGTTGATTTCGTAGGAAAAATTAAGCCTAGATTTTTTGGGCTTTGGTGTGGTGGGTTTTTGTTTAGGGTTTGACCATGACGACAACTGGGTTTTCAAAGACGATGCCTTTGGTTGGTGAGTTTGTGTCTTAATGATCTCAGCTCCTTCATTAATTCGACTAATTTTGCTGAATAAGATTTTGTTCTCGAGGTACTTAAGTTTGGGGTTGGTCCAATCGCCGAACGCAATCCAGGAGTGACGAGAGAATTGAAGGCGTAGCACCGAGTCAAAGTCTCGAACATCGATCCAGTGGATGCCTGTCGAAGGATCGCTGGCCAATTCCAGAATGTACTCGAAGTAACTTTTGATATTTTTCTTAGCTGGGGGAAAGGCCGCCTGGTAAGTAGCGCTAAGGAGAGAGACAAGGTGATGCCAATTGCTTTTGTCAAGGATGGGGGCACCTTTGATCTTCTCATCAAACTCCAAATCCTTAGACTCATTGATTTTGATCATCTTGATGGCTCCCGGTTTGCCATATATATCCGCATAGACTTTTTCCAGGTCCACAAATTTATACTCCAAGAGGTCTTTAATCTGGGAATATGGCCATTGGTCTGGCTTTGCTGGGCTAGCTTCAAAGAGTTCTGTTTCCCTCTTGATATCATCTTTATATTTGACCTTGATTTGTTTGATTTCTCTAGCAATGGTATCAATGATTTTGTCTTGCGGTTCTTCTTCTGCTGATTGAAAGGCGAACTTTTTTGATGATTTTCTAGCTGAGCTGACAAACGTTTGAAAGGCTTTTTCAAATTGAATACCTTTGGGGTTATATTCTGGAGAAGAAGAAATTCTGCATCTTTTTTCCTGGCTGCAAGACGGGGGATCTTCTTTGCCAAAGCGGTTGAAAATAGACATGTTGATGCGGTCCAACAGAGGTACTTGAGGGGTTCTATCTGGAGATCCTTTGAAGCGTGTTCTTCTACTGGATGATGAGGCAGGAAATTCTCTACGTGGTGGGGAGACTCTGCTAGAAGAGTGTGAAGGCCTGGGGCTGTAATCTTTTCTGGATCTGTGCCTGGGGCTCGGGGATCTCCCGGTTGACCTGGCTGGACTTATACCCCGTCTACGGGAAGTTTCTGGTGATGATGGAGAGGAGCCGTACTGGTTAGTTGAGCCAAATTGACGTCGAGGGGACTCCTTGAGAAATGTCGACAAAGATCTTGGCTAGCCTGGCAATGTCTTTCTGGGCTGTGGCGGGAACGGAGCTCTGGGCTGGATTGCTGAGAGTGACGACGAGGGCTCCTGGATTTACGAGGACTTCTCGATTGACGGCCTTTACCCTTTTGTTGAGAGGATGAAGGAACGGGGTTGGCACCATGTCTCGCCGCTGAGCTGGCCTTGGCAATGTCCAAGAGTTTTTTGTTAGAGACCGAGCAATTGATTTCACCTTCCAATGGCCTTCCGAAGGCGCACTGAGTGCTAAGAATCGCTGGCTCAGCTTCCATAAGGCTTCTGACGGAATTTGGCCATATGTGGTTTTTGCCCACGAGCTGGTAAAGTGGACGTCCCGCTTTAGAGTCGAGTTCCACGGCGGCTCTCCCAAAGACGGAGAAATTGTAAATCCATAGCTGCAATTTTTGGTCTGTCGGAGGGTAGACTTCAGCGAACAGCCCGCAGAGGACTCGCATGGGAATGACTCTACTGCCATTCGCTTTGTCGTAATCAAAGAGAATAGACTTGAGTTTTTGGTAAAGGCTTGTCGCCCTATTAGCGGAATTAATTTCTTCAGATGATAAAGGTTGATCATTTTGCATATTCGAATGGACGAAATAAAAAATAAAAATTGAAACTGATAATAAACTAAGTCTGAATGACTGATTTTGAATAACTTGTACTATAATAAGGAATAATGATGAAGCAAGTTTAGTCAAAATTTATACTACTATTATAATATTCGTCAATTACAATTTTGATAATTTGAAATAGATGAGGAAGAAAGGACGGACAACAAAAAGGAAAGAGACTGAAACGAAACATAGCCATACATCGCTAACCTCTCACTCGACCCGTTGGGGTGAGTTTGATGTGTAGCTGGGTTTTGTTGGTGATCTTTTTAGAGTAGCTGCTTGCGTTCCCAGATGCTGAGATTTCACTCCCCTTTCACATATTCCGTTTTGTTAACACCTTGTGCCAACCTCGAATGTGTCAAAAACCGGTCTCAGCCCGGCTTTCGGCACGTCCCACTTACCCCGTGGTGTGCTTGATGCAACAGGTCAATAAAGTAATCCGTTGCAGCTACCAGCCCCGACATTACAACCATAGTTGCATCCGTTAGCTTTGCATGCCGAGCTATCTTTGCACAGTACTGAGCCGCATTTGAATTCAGCAGGGGGCCGGTTGTGTTCGTCTTCGAGTTCAGTGGGTCTAATTCTGGAGAAGCCCATGATTTCCATTGAGTCTTCTGAAAATTCGCAAATGGTTGGGATGATTGAAAGACTCAATACTAGGGACTGGGCGAAGTTCGGACGAGCACAGGATTTTGCCACCTGAATTAGCGCAAGTATAGCAAGGAAGTTGTCCGAAGAGATTTAAACAGGAGGAACATATCACTGACCTTTCGCATGTCCAAGTGCCCCGTTCAAAATCTCATTGGGATGACAAAGCTGAGTCCGGGTTCATTCCCAAGGCCATATTCCCACAGACCCGATTGCTTGCTCAACTTCTATAGGATGTTCCAACGTCTATCTTGCAAGGGGTTCTTCATGAGGACCCCAACCCAAAGGTACAAACTTCCTTTTCGGGCTCCCCCGTGGGCACCACCACCGGAGAGCTCAGGGCCACAGCCTTATCTGTGAAAGGTATATCAGGCAATCCTGATGCGGTCAGCCTAAGGCTTTTGGCTGAGGAGTAGGAAGTTTTGGATTGGAGAGCCCATCAGATGATGGCAACCGGCTATGCGCCACCCTATTTTTTTTAGTCTCATGAAGTTGACTAATAAAAATAGGGAATTTTGATATTGATTCAACAGGGGCTGGATTGCTTGCGATAGTATTTCAACTACGGTTGAATTGGATTTTTGCAGCGCTTCGCCCAGTCCCTACTGAGCTTAAGAGAATGATTTTTTGCAATTGGACACCTATCATTGTAGCACTCTGAAACTAAAGAGAACATATGAGTAATCTGTATTAGTTATGTTTGATCAAATCTGACCCACTTTCAAGAACAATAACTAACAAGGAACCTTTGGTTTGATTGGGGTATGATGCTGAACAATATGAGCAGGGTAAAGGTAATTGGATGTGCCCGTAGAATGGATCGCGCGAACTATCTGTTGAGCTGGGGAATTGTATTTTGGTTCAGCTTATCTGTGTTCTGTCAAGAAAGTATCCAAAAAGTACTGACATGCTGTCCTAAACCCACAAAAAAAAATTATCAAAGGAAGTCAAAAACGAGTGTGGATAGTAAAATATGGTGAACTGATTCAAGCAAGTGATAGACTGATATGGAAGAGAGATGGCAGAGTGACAATCCACTTGGAATGATTTATAGCAAAATACGGAATCCTTTGAGGTTGCCAAAACCATCTTCCGAATACAAAAATTACATAGTGAAACTGGTCGTTGGGGAAATTTACCGAAACAATTGATTTGTGACAATTGCATGAAGGTGAAAATGTAATCTCCCTAGTGAAACTAATCGTTAGTGAAATTCTTTCTATCGCGACTCGTCCTCTAGATTTCTTTTCACCTCACAAGTCGGCGAGCGAGAGAGGGACGGGTCAAGTTTGTTACCTCATCGCAGTCAAACCCTTCCCTAACTCTCCGTGTGACAGATCGGGACGGCGCGAATTTAGGGCACGGCTGGGGGTCGGGTGCTAGAGACTATGAAGACACCCGGGAAACTCAAGCTGTAGACTTCAGTAATAATAAACCCAAACCAAGAACACAACCCGGAATCCTAACTACATAGCATGCGGAGAAAGCAATCAGCCTCGCTCCAATCACCGGTTGTCGAATAATGATTGTGATACGGTTTCAAGGTCCGAACAACACACTCCTTGCAAGATTTTAAATAAAACTGGTTTGTTTCTATCGTAATATATATTATATCCCCTCATGATTGCATGTGATTCAGCTTCAAACCATAGCATCTGACGTTTTTGAACAACACTGAGTGAGACAAGAAATCCTCTGCCTAAGTGGATATCATTTACGTTCAGAGCATAATCTGGATCAAGCGATGGACTAAACAGGATATTATGTTCTTTCACTCAAGGGAGAGCTGCTGTACTAGTAGATTATCATGAGCCATAGACTATTTCCTAAAGGTAGGCTTTCTAATTTCAACAAAAGCTTCAGAACTTGGTTGTCTGGGTATACCTCATCAGTGTTTTAAATCACAACCCATATGAATTGCAAAATTCATAGCATCGCTTCTCAGGGAGTAGAACCTGAATAGACCTCTCACAACAGAACACTATGGTACAAATGATATTACATAATTATATATGTTATGCATGTCTAGGCTTATACACAAGTGTCTTTACAAGATGATCATGCACTACTAATGGTAAAACTCTATAAATTTCTCACTAATTGATTCACGAATATGATTACGATCAAGGAAATCAGATATAAATAAAATTGAAGCATACTAGTACATGAGGTCGGACCAAATCCCCTGTGTCAATATTTGACATGTTTCTTTAATGGTATCATTCAAAAATCTAGGATCAGTTTCTTTACATGTTTCTCTTTCTTTCCTAATATTGCTGGTTGCCATAACACCCTTTCAACTTGAGTCCTTAGCCATTCAATCTTCTCCGGGCGTGAGGTAATCAAGGTACAGCCGGTGAGATCGAGATACGATAACTTTTGCATTGACGTCGATTGTTGAGAAGCAGTTAGTAAATTGGTGATTGCTGTGAAACTGATTCGTACGCATTCCACTAGTCCCAAATGCTCGAGTTTTTCAGGCTTGATGGCCTTTATCACTTCAACACTTGCATTGGTTCGATCGAGACAAAGATGTGTGAGAGGAGGTAAGGTAGTTAGGATTTGAACAAATTGATTCTCGTTTCGTGAGGTTATCGGTAAACCAGAGATTGACAGTGATTCAAGCATTACAAATTCGTGTGCAAACTTGGTTAAGAACCCGAAACCGGCCACCGGGTCCACTTCGGTGAGAACCAAACAACTCAACTGTGATGCGATTGGATTCAATAGTCCCATCAAAGGCTGATCCGTGTCTGATAGACTGACAAAGTGACTCAAAGGCTGGACAGTTCGGTTGATGGTCATGTGTTTAAGATTTGGTAGCGCTAAGCAACCTGTCCAGTCCGAGTCAGCATAACCAACAACATTTTCCCTTGGGTTGCTGCTACCGAAGACAAGCTGTTCAAGTTGTGGAAGACGAGTGAGATCGATGAGGGAAGTGTAAGCTCGAGCATGATCTGGAAGCGAAGAACGTCCAGGTAAAGCGAGCACTCGCAAAGATTCCAACTGAACCGGATCCGCGGGATGGTCAGCAAAGACGATACCTTGCAAGGCAAGGTTTTGAAGTTGAGGTAGATTTTGGGGCGAGTCGTCCTGTTTTTCCAGATTATCCGCGTCTTCCGAATCAAGCTTGCGAACACGAGAAGGAGGTGGTGATCGATGTAGCGCCTCGCACTGCATGGGTACCGTATTTCCACGTTTTCCAGCAATGACCCTTAATTGAATCAGATCTGGGAATTGGATCAAAAAGCTAGAGAAAGTAATAGGACAGTAAATGACTATGGAGGTCTTGATTTCCAAGGTACATAAGCTAGTCGAGGTGGTCATCAAATATTCGATCAAATGATTCAACATCCTAGTGAATTCCGGGAATTCATACATGATTCGATCTTCCACAAAAGTGAAATTCTTGAGATGTTGTATTTCTTTAGATATTAATGTTTTGAAAACAGAAAGAAGTTCCGATAAAGGCCAAGTGTCACTATAGAGGATGGTGATTGACTCTAGTTTGTAAGATGATCCTTCTAATCTTGAAAGCCAGTATTTAAGCTTTGTTGTTGGTTTTTTAGTCTTGAATTGAAGCGTAAGGGACGTCCAGAACTTTGCAGTTTGATAAATTACTGAGCGCCATGAAGAACAAACGCGCATACATATAAAACGTGTTGGGTCGTCGAGATAGTTGATCACTTGTAGGAAAAGTTCAAAAGGTAAACGTCCGAGATAATTGATAGGTGACTTTAACTATCGCCAAATTTAATGATCATCCAGTCAGAAAGATAGTCAAAGGCTTGTTGAGTTAGAGATTAGATCAATACACTTACTTGTCCAAGATTTGCTTGGACCTTTTCCAACTTTCGCACATTTTCACGTTCATCTTTGAGAGCCTAAGAATCATTACGCCAAAGAACGCGTGTCAAGGAAATCGATTAGAGGTGAAGAAAGTCTATATTCTTAACTCGCCTCAACTGAGGATGAACCAGGATCATCTGTTTTTGAACTTTTTGCCAAAGCACGATCGTACATCTGGATAGAGGCTGAAAGTTTTCCAATTTGATGAAACAGACGCGCTGCCCTAATATAACCCTTAAATCAAGACAAAGTAAGCAAATATGAAGGTTATGATTTGATGATTTCAAAGTGATATAAAGCACAGATACCTTTGGAAGTTCAGGACAAAGGTCTATAACACGTTTAGCATCGAGTAAAGCACCTTTGAAATCTTTTAACTTTTCTTTGGCTGCAGCACGACTATCGAGTAGTTTGATTTCGAATGAAGTTTCATGGTTTGAGTTTTGATTGAGTGCCTGATCGAAATGAATGATTGCATCTGAGAATTGTTGTTTTCTGAAAGCTATAACACCTGATTTGAATTGATCTTTGGGATTTGATGGTGACATGATCAATAATATGGACTTGAATGGTACTTGATCACTCGATATCTTTTTTTTTTTTTTTCTTTTTTTTTTTTTTTTTTTTTTTTTTTTTTTTTTAAAGTGTATTTTTGCTTAATTGCATGTTACACTATCTGAACAAGGAAATATGCAAATATATGACTAGTACACCAGAAAATCAGTCCTCTAGTCGGTAACAAGAGTAAGAAGGGTCTTTTGATCGTTACGCAATTTGATAGCTATCTTCTTTTTTTTTTTGAGAGAGAGATTAACAGTGACAATATAGTTTGCTTACTCATCCCCAATCTAAGGTGGAAGGTAAGAATCCTAGGGATTGTGTGTTCTGTCGGGGGTGTTTACCACTCGCGACTTTTCTCTAGATAACCTATAAATGCAGGGAATCGAGCAACAGTGACATCCTAACCCCGCAGACTCATCCCCAATCTAAGGTGGAAGGAAAGGGAAGTTTAGGCGTGTATGTCTCGTCATTGATTGTTTACCAATCTTGACACCGCTCTAATATGCATTAACATTGACATTCGACTTAGTTATCTTATCCAAACCTGTTTAGGAGGATGATATTGTCTTGAATGTGTGTTGAGGATTTATCTTTTTTTTTTTTTTTTGGACCCGCTATTTGCTAACCACTCGTCCCCCAATTTAAGGAAGGAGGTGGGGCGCCTAGCTTGTCGGGATGATAACTTCGTAAGATAATGCTATGTGGGAATCGCGGATCTTCGACTTTCTAACTCTTGTTCCGTGACTGTTTTCTTGAGTCTACGTCCTGTAAGTATGAATTGAAAAATACAAATCGTTTAGTCTCTAATATGAATTCTGAAAGAAGAAAGAAAGCTTTAGGCGAATCAATGAGTTTTCTTGCCACATTCCAATTTACTTTTATTTTTTCTTCTCGTAGTCTAGCACGAAATCGTTTTCTCTCTTTTTTGTACCTGTTACAATAAAGTAAGAAATGTTCAGTAGTTTCTTTCAATTTGCATGTGCTACATAGGGGAGAATCAGTTAGTTTTCTTTTGTGTAGATGGTCGTTGAGTGGACTATGACCCGCCCTCAGTTGAATGATTACCGCTGCTCTTCCTTTTTCCATGTTCATTAAGGTGTCAGAGATGTCTTTGGGCTTTGCTGTGAATGGCTTTGTGCCTGGTTTTAGCGGGTAATTCTTTAAGTTGAATGTTTTCTTCGTTTGTTTCTTCAAACTGCCTAAGCTTGCTGGAAGTTTAATGCTATTGACTTGATTTGTTTGGTTCACGGCTGCTTGTTTGGCTAAGTTGTCCGCTTTCTCGTTATTCTCGATACCTACGTGGCCCGGAGTCCAATAGAGGTGTATGTTTGTATTATCTGGGAGCTGTCTAAAGCAGGATTGAATTTTAATTATCAGATGTTGGCCTGATGTTGCGCGTGGGACGTCATGGACTAGTCGTAATACACTTTGGTTGTCGCTAAAGATTGCTACATCTGGTACTTGTAGAAGTCGGTTTCCGATTTGTTCTTTAGCCAGGCTAGCCGCTAAATAGATGCCTAGAAGCTCGGCTTCATGGTTTGAAAAGTGTTCTGATTCTTTTATTGTTATTGTCTTCTGTGATTCATTAGTTACTGCTGCGGCTCCACCATCTTTTTCATTGACAGATCCATCTGTGAAGATCACAATTGAGCCTCTATTTATTTCTTCTTCTACCTGTTGGGGAACTGCTTCCATGGCTTCTTCTTTTGAGTTATCCAGGTTGTGTAGTGTGCCGTACGTTTTGGTCCAAGGAGGGAATGAATGAGGGTAAATTGTTTCGCTTGATATTTCTAATAATTTACGTAGCTCTTCTAGTTGTAGCATGTCTTGAATAGGGCTTTTGTGTTTTGATAAAGATTGATTTAGTTCGAATTTGATGAATCGGTGTGTTGGATGGTGTTCCGGAGTCGCTAGACGTTTCAGATAGAAATTGTGGTGGTGTCTCATAGTTGTGAGGTAAAAGGGAGGCATATAAGAATCGTGATACAGTAAGTCAGTAGATGAACCTCTAAATGCACCAAGGATGAGGTTTAAAGCTGTGTTTTGTAAGGTGGTTAGGGTGTTGTTGACCTTCCTGAAGTTTCTTGCGGTGAACCAAACTATACTACCATAGAGGATTCTTGGCATTAATACTGAAGTCACAAGTTTCCTGACCTCTTTGGGTGAAAGTCCCGAGTAACATTTGTTCAGCCTACGGAGTTGGTGCATAGTATAATTGCCTATTTTTTTTACATGTTGTATATGAGAGTTGAATAAGAGTTTAGAGTCAAACCAGATTCCTAGCCATTTAATTTCTTGTTTAGGATGTAGTATCACATCACCAAAATGAAAACTGGGTAGATCTTGATTTCTTTTGTTTGTGAAATGAATCAGTTGAGCTTTTTTCTTATCAAAGATGGCTCCGTGGGATTTACCCCATTTGAGTGACCTAGTAGCGTGGAAGTGAAGTTTGTCTAAGTTCTCCTTAAAGGTTTTTGAAGCTACTACATGAATTACATCATCGATGAAACCAAGGGATAGTTCTTTTGTTTCCGGGTCAGGTTTAGATGCGGCTAGTAGGGGAGAGTTGTAAATTATATATAAGATCACTGATAAAGGTGATCCTTGTGGTAGGCCGTTTTCGATGTTGAAACTTTCTGATAGGTAATCCTGGAGTTGTAGGTTTGTTGTCCTTTCCAAAATGAAGCCATGGATTAACCGTATCAAATAGCCGGGGCACTTGTGTTTGTATAACATAAACCACAGTCTTTCACGGTGAACCAATGGGTACGCTGACTTGACATCAAGAGATAAGGCCGAGACGACTTCGTTGTTTCTCCATTTCTCTTTGATCCATGTTGTGAGAATGAGCAGGGCGTCATTGGTTGAGTGGTGTCTCCTGCCGCCCATGTGGCCTGAAGCAATAATTTTCATGGTTTCGGCCCAGTAGGTGATTCTATTGGTAATGATTTTCTCTAAGATTTTACCTAAACAGCTTAAGAGTGCGATAGGCCTATAGGCATTTGGATCGGAGTAGTTATCTTTGCCGCTTTTCCGAATTATAATGGTTATAGCTGTTCGCCACGCATTTGGGAAGAAGCCTAAGTCAAAACAAGCATTGAAGAGTCGGCAAAGTTCATCTTCAATTGCTGGTAAAGCCAGTTTAATGAGTTCGTTTGAGATACAATCTTCTCCATTTGCTTTACGATTTGGTAAATTATCAATTATTTTCTTGAGTTCGGGACTTCTGAGTGTGGGATACGAGTTTGGGGTAGAGTGGATTAAGTCCTCTAGGTTGTGTGGTAAGTCGGATAAATTGGCTTCAATGTGGGCGACCGAAGTACCGTAAAAGAGGGTGGATGACTGGTCTTCTTTTGTAGTTGCAATTGATCCATCTTGCATTTTAAGGGGAGCAATTTCGCCGGTTGACTTGGGTTTGACATATTTGAACACTTTGAATGTGTCATTGTTTGAGCAGTTTGCAAGGAATTGTTTCCAGTGGTTGAGCTTGGTCTTCAGTATTTGTTCTCTAAAGTATTTTTGCCATTCTTGATAGCATGTCCGAGCTTCGGGTAAACCTGACTTGATCATCCATTTACGGGCACGGTTTCTGTTTTTGAGAATTGGGTTCAGTTTGTCCTTATCCCACCAGGCTTTGTGTCTATTGGGTTTAGTTTTGACTTGTCTACCTTGATCTTGAGCCGCTTCGAGTATAATGCTAGAGAGTGTGGAAACTGCTGTGTTGATGCTGGTTGAGGTCGTATAGTTTTTTGGGAGGAGATGTAGTTTTGAGGCGATTTTACTATGAAAAGGGATTGATTGTATGTCAGCCACCTTGAAAGATATATGTGTTTTTATTGGAGATAGGATAGATAAGTCTAGAAAAGTTGCAATTGGAAAATGGTCAGAGGCAAGATCGTTAGTTAGTACATTACAGCTAAGGATCTTTTGTGTAATGTTCCAGCTAGCCCATACTAGGTCAATCGTTGTTGGGTGGGTTCCTGTAGAAAACCTTGTGGGTACCCCCTTTGGTGAGATCAGTTTGAGACCTGTAGAACTGAGGAAGGTGACCAGTTTTTTGGCTTGTGTGTCGGTGATTGTATAGTCGGGGGGGTTCCAGATGTGATGATGGAGATTAGAATCAGAAACTAAGATTGTTGGAATGTGTCGGTCATGATTGGAGTTCATCCATCGTTCAAGAGTCATGATTCCTCTGAGGGATCCGGGGGGATTATACCACGATATGATCCTGAGTTTAGTTTGACGGGAGTCTTGATCTTTGATTTCTATACCTAGGACAATATCGGATGAGCTAGGTAGAATTGAGAACTGAGATGTAGGGATTAGTTTTGACAGGTACAAACAAACTCTTGGTCTGTTGGCCCAGGATGTTGGATTATAATCGTATGCTGTAAGTCTATGCCACGCTTTGTGGTGTGGGAAGCTGAGAGAATGGGTATTAAACCAGGGTTCTTGGAGTGCTAATACTGTATAGTGTGTGTGTGTAAGTGCTTCGTGGGTAGTTTGGATCGAGTTTTGACAGTTGAAGTGTAAAATTGAAAAATTATTGAGTGAGAGGGGGATGTCTGAGGTTGATTCGTATTGAGATTCTTGATCTTCAGTAAAGTTTGGAAGTTGGGGAGTGGAAAAACTATTTGATGTGAGGTTATTGAGATTATTACTCATCGTCGCTTGTGTCTTGTGGTGTAATCGTAAACTTCGTATTTCAGAGAGGGCAACCTAAACTTTTTGAAGAATGAGCATACTTGGGAGAGAAACGGTCAACTTTTCCTGTGGATTTTTGGCAGTCAAAATGAAAGCATCTGGCGCAAACTTGGGCAGAGTCATTATTGGCACAGTCTTTGGAATTATGTGGGTCACCACATTTTGTGCAGTAAGCATAATTATTGCAAGTGTTATGAGTATGATACAAGTCTAGACAATTGAAACACATCGTCGGACCTTGTACATATTGCTTGCTCTTGATGCGATGATAATCAGCGTATAAACCTCCTTTACTAACATTGTGAGCTAATTCCTTGTCAAGTAAGTTGAGGACAATAGTACCGTGAGTTTTTCCTGTATCTTTGGGGTTCTTAAGCCATTTTACTGAGTGAATTGAATCGATTGGGATGCCATTTTGTTCGCTAAGCTTTTTTGGGAAGTCATCGTTTTCAACCTCGAGTTCAGCCGGTACATAGTTGAAGAGAACTGGGTAACACGTTTGAGAAGTTACAAATTCGTCGTGTGCTAGCTTTGTCCAAATATGCTTGTTTTCAAGAAGCCACTTTTTTATAAATCGATTATCCATATACATGACCACATCGCCTGATTTGAGGAGCGAGGCGCTTCGTATCGTAACTTGAGAGCCGTTAACTTTGGCATCGATGGATGCGAGAGCTTTGTTGATTTGCTGAGCAATTTCGGCCGTTTTCAGTCCCTTAAAGGGTTCCGTACCAGGTGTTTTGTGAATGATCAATGTAGCAGCTTTGAAGTTGTTGATATCCGAATTTTTGGGGGGTTGTTTAGGAGTCATTGTTGTGTTTTGCTTGGGGTAAGGGTTGTTCCAAGCACGAGGTCTGGGGGTAGTGGTATTGTTGGTGGCGTGGAGCTCTTTTTGTTGGGGTGTTGAGCGTTCCTTAAGGACTTTGATTTCTTCGCGTAATTCTTTGATCGTGTTGTTGAGCTCGTTGATCGTGTTTTTGAACCCGTTCATCATCTTGATCATGAGTTGAATAAGAGCATCATTCAATTGAGAGTTTCCTGATGAAAGAGATCTTAGGTCGCACATCATGGAGTCCACGTCATTCGATTGTCGCAAAGTCGGATTTTTTTGGGGGGGAGGGTTCGGAACACCTTCTCCGGTGTCCGGTGGTTGTTTTTGAGGCATAAAATGCTGAATAGATTGTTTTTATAGGGTGATAAGAGGGTTTTTGCGTTCGAGTGAATGTTTATTTAGAGGGTCTGCGTCCTCACTCGATATCAGTTCTTCAATCAACAAAGACTCCAAACCGAATTGTGTGGTCCGGGGCCAAGTCCGGGTGACAGATTACAGGCTACAGGTTACAAGCTAGCTGTTACATATGAGTTTGACCACAGTCTAGCCTTTGGAAATTGAAATTCAGGAAAGTTGTGATCAAACTACACGGATGGTGCATTTCTTTACCATCATCATCAACCAATTATCAAACTATCATCATGCCACTCAAAAGAAAAGTATCCAATCCAAAATCACCATCAGATTCATCAAAAAAAGTCAAACATGATCAAAATCAAAATCAAAATCTAGAATCCAATCCAAAACCAAAATCAAAATCAAAGAAATCCAATGAGAATCCATCTTCAAGTTTATTAAATTCAGTCGAAGTTGACTTTCCTCGTGGTGGTGGTACTCATCTAACAGCTGTTGAAGTTAAACAAGCTGGTCATGAAGGAAAAACAGATGCAGATCAAATCTTCATTCCTGATCCCAAGCCAGTCAAGGATACTTCTTCATCAAAGCGTAAAAGATCTTTACTCGATCCTTCCTCCCATCAACGTATCAAATCTAACAATATCTCAGCATCTCAAAATACACCATTTCAAAATGCATATAGAATTGAACATCTTAATCATCGTCGGCTTACATCTGGGCTCAAACTCGCTGGTTTGATCATCGAAATCCGACCACTTGAACTTATTGTGGCCTTGCCGAGTCAATTGGTTGGGCATGTTCCAATCACCGAAATCTCTTCTTACTATACTCAAAAACTTCAAGAAAGTACCGATCAAGATGACGAGGATACTGACTCTGAAGATGACCAAAGCAATTCTGACAAGGCTGACGATTATCAACACAGAGTGAAATCCGGTGGACTTCAAGGATTGAATGAAATTTTCAAAGTGGGACAATGGATTCGCTGTATGGTGTGAGTGAGATCCTCTAAAGCTTCTTAGAAGTACCTAAAACTGAAGCAAAAAAACTTCTCTTTGCGCTATCAACCAATTTGATCAACAATAATGTCTTAGCATCCATACTACTTCCGGAACACCTAATATAGCTCATCGTGCCTCCCCCCTGGTTCGTGCTGCCCATCGTGTCAAATTAACCATTGACCCAGCTCGTCTGAATGGCGATTTGGAAAAGAAAGACTTGTCTGCAAACATGACATTGGATGGTGCTGTCAAATCAATCGAAGACAACGGATACGTGGTAGATCTTTGCGTTCCAGTAAACTCATCTCAGCAAGCCTCTTCATCTGCACCTCAAACTGTCACTACCTTTGTCCTATTCTCTGATGCCATCAAGATCCCCCAAACTCATCTTCACAATCGTGAGCTTTGGCAAATTGGACAAATCGTTCGATGTCGAATCGATAAAGTCTCCAAGAGTGGATCTACTTGTACCGTCTTTGTCGACCCGACCGGTATCGCTTCATCCTTGTTAACAACGGCTATCAACATTGACTGCGTTTTACCTCTTCACCTTGTCACCTGTCTTATCACCGCCGTAGTGCCTGAGGAAGGTTTAAACGTAGAATTCTTAGGCTACTACAAGGGTACAATCGACTTGTACAATCTTGGTGTCGGCATAGGTGGTACCAAGGTGGAAGACCGTTTCAAAGCCGGTCAGAAGATCCGTGCTCGGGTCTTATGGCATACTCGATCCTCTTCACCTCGTGGTTTAGGCGAGGATGATGATGTGGATGTGCTAGGAGAGAAAACTTTTAGCTTAAGCTTGCTGGACCATTGCGTCAATATGGTCACACCAGGTTTGCCACTCTTGCTACAGAACGACACACCAAACGGCTTACCTAGTGAAAGCATCGAACATCTTATGCGATTCAACATTGGATACACTTTTCAATCCACTAGAGTTTGTGGTGTCGTCAAGGACTGGGGGTTATATGTCGAATGTTTAACCGGTGAAAATGGAGATCCAATCATCACCAGCGACTCAGTAGACTCTGACAATTCAAATCAGCAGCGAGTCATAGGTTTCATTCACATTTCAGCCATTCGCGATACCCATCTCTCTGACATCTTGGTCGAAGGTTCTGGGCCTTATAGACTCGGTACAACTCATAAAGCCAAAGTTGTAGGCATCTCTCCCATCGATGGCATGCTTCAACTCTCATCACAGCCCTCAGTGGTGGAGCAGCCTTATATACGACCACAGGACGTTGCGGTGGGTGAAATCGTGACAGCAGAGGTGACCAGATTGTGCTCTTCGGCATTGTTTCTGTCAATATTTGGTGGACTTGATTGCGTGGTTTGGCCTGATCATTACTCCGATGTGAAACTTCAACACCCTGAGAAGAAGTTTCAAGCTGGTATGAAGCTCACAGCCAGGGTAAGATCCTTCTACTGATATCACCTATTAGCAAACATTATATGTCCCTTTATAATCACATTTTTGATGATCTTGTTGTTATCACATTCACAGGTACTGTATGTCAATCCCAACAAGCACCGAATTGCTCTCACTTTGCGGAAAAGTCTTCTGGATCCCACGTTTTCTTCTATCACCTCTTATGCTACAGCACAGCCTGGTATGGTCACCGATGCAGTAATCACCCGCGTTAAAGCGAGGCACCTTGAAATAGAATTCTTTGGTCAAACACGGGGTGTGATTCCCATTCGCGAAGCAGCGTGAGTAATTTCGGGTTTGGTCACCTTCAGAGTTTCTTTTTGGGTAGCTCAAATATCTGATCCCACACTCATTGTATTGACTGTATTGACTGTATCTGATGGATGTTTCAGGGAGAAATTTAGCGAGTCGTTGTCCGATTTCAGGGCTGGCCGAGTAGTTAAGGTCCAGATTCTCTCCGTGGATCCACTGGCTCGAAAGATTTTAGCGAGCATCAGATGCGCTCTAGACACAGAAGCCTCAAAATTAAGGGAATCGGGCAATGTCGGTGATGCAGTCTTTGCGACTGTGAAGACGATTGGTGATGACCACACGATTTTGACCCTTCGGCGAAGGCTAGGCAAGCGTAACAAAATGGGCGGAGAGATTCCGATTCCAGGCCTCATCTCTCTCAGTATTCTTGCGTGGCGACGTAAAGTGACGATCGATCAACTGAAGGAACAACTCCATGTCGGTGATGAGATCGACGATTTAGTCATCACAGCTAAAGATATCCAGAGTAACCTCATCATCTTGGGTTACGCCAAGGGCTCAAAGAAGCAGAAGCAAGAGCCGGAGACGGAGCGACCACTGTTCAACTCGTCGGCATTCGAAGTCGGTGACTTGGTCACAGGGACGGTCTTGGACATACACGCCAAAAACCTGTTAATGTTTCTCAAGAAAGATGGAAGCGAAAATGCATGTGTGGGACAAGGCTTTTTGTCCATTGAAAAGCTTGCTACTCGTCGACAAATGTTTTCTCAAGAACTCAAGGGTCAACTCAAAAAGGGAGATCAGATCGAAGATTTAATTGTCAGCCAGAAAGTCACGGAGACCCGTGGTATCACCATTCTCGATTTTCGTCCCACAACGTCTTCACGTCAGCATGAACTTCATCTCAAGGAAAATATGTCGTTAGTCGGTAGCGTCCGTGCGATTCACGACAAGAATGTCATGCTATCACTGCGGAGTTCGAAATGTGACGAGACCTGTGGTTTGCAACTCGGTTTGATCTCCAAAAAGGTTCTAGCTGGACATTGGAATACGACAGAAGATAAATTAGATACTAAGCTCTCCTTAGGCGTCGAAATACCAAAGCTAGCTATCAAGAAAATCGATAGTGATAAGGGACTTGTGATCCTTGGATTTGAACATCCGCCTCAGTCACAACCCACTCGATACTTTCCTGATACTTCATCTACCCAAGACGAGATCACATCAGCTGACCAACTGATAGATGGTACTATTGTAGAAGTATTGATTGGTGATAAGACCGCGGAAGGTGTACGAGCTCAGCCTGTCAAGTTGAAGTTTCCGGGTTGGAGTTTTCTCATTGATTTCCCCGACCTACATGACGATTATGATCAATCTCCTGAATCAGTCAAGAAAGGTGAAAAGAAGAACTGCGCTGTAGTCAAGGTTGATCGACAGACTTCCAAGGTTTACCTTACTTTGAGATCATCTCGTTTGAATCGTGGAGTCCAGAAATCGGCCTCCGAGGTACGGGATCGACCGATCGTCTCGATCAAAGACTTGAAAAAGGGTGATAAGATAAGAGGATTTATTCAACGGATTTGTGAAAAAGCTGGTCTGCTCGTTCGGATCGGTACTAATCTTTCTGCCAAAGTTAAGATCAGTGAACTTTTTGATCAAGATATTCCAGATTGGGTTGGAAAGTTTAAAGTCGGTCAAGTGGTATCTGGTGTGATTATCACGCCTGTCAAAGCTTCCCGTGGTATTCAATTGAGTCTTAGAGAAAATCCATTTGGTCCGAAAGTTTCGGATCCAAAGAAGTTGGTCTTGGAGAAATTCCAGGAAGGACAAATTGTTGGTACTACTATTAGAAAGATTGAAAAGTATGGAATGTTTTTGGCCATTGACGATGCCGGAATCAGTGGTTTGTGCCATGTTAGTCAGTTATCTGATGATGATGAAGTCGACCGAAACTGGGCAAAGAAGTACAAGGAAGGTATGAGGCTACAAGCTGCACTGGTCAAGGTTGATTTGAAGGCACGTAGGATCTCTTTATCGATCAAGCCTTCAATTGTCGGCGAGCAAGAATTGGATAGTGGTGACGATGAAGACGAATCTGACGATGAGGACGTAGAAGAAGAGGAGCTTGACCATTCGAATGTTGAAAAGGACGATTCGGTAGATATGGTTGTGACAAGTAAGAGTGTGAATCAGCCATTGGCTGTACAAATCCAAGCGCCATGTCTGGCGCTTCCTGGTGGTTTCAATTGGAACAGCACTGTCCAGACCAGGGCTGCTGATGAGCAAGATTCAGATTCAGAAGGGTCGAGCGACGAAGATGATCATGCCACATCTAACCATGTCACGGGTCAAGAGAAGGAAGTATCGGAACCTGAGCATAGGAACTCTTCACATCTTGAGAACGGCTCAGTGACCACATCAATAGCAGACTTGGAACGACAATTATTAGGTTCTCCTAATAGCTCATTGCTTTGGATTCAATTAATGTCATGTCATATCCAACAAGCTGATCTGAATGAAGCACGAGAAACTGTGAAACGAGCATTGAATGGGATTCATTATCGAGAAGAATCGGAAAAGTTGAATGTTTGGATAGCTTGGTTGAATTTAGAAAACGCTTATGGAACTGAAGAACAGATGATGAAAGTGTTTGGTGAAGCTTCAAAGGCTAATGATACGAAAACGGTTTGGTTGAAGATGGCGGAGATTTATACTGAGAGTGGAAAGATTGAGGTAAAGATCTCTAGCCTGATAGTCTGCTCTTTCTATGCTTATACTTATGTTTTTTATCATATCCTTGACGACTTCTCACATCTTAACAGAAAGCAAATGAGCTGTATACTAAATTGGTGAAAAAGTTCAGTGAAAGCTCAAAGGCTTGGTCTCTGTACGCCCGATTTTGTTTAACCAACAAGCAAGAAGCTCAAACTCTAGAGTTATTAGCCAGAAGTTTGAGAAGTTTACCAAAGCACAAACGTAAGTGATGAATTCCAAGGGCTAATTTTGATGATGAGATCAAAGACTGACGAAGGTTGATGAGGATTGAATAGATCTTAAGACGATGAACAAATTTGCACAATATGAATTTAAACATGGTGAGATTGAAAGAGGTAGAACGTTATTTGAAGGTTTGATTGCTAGTTATCCAAAACGAACGGATCTTTGGAATGTTTATATCGATTTGGAACGAACTCGATTAGATCGAGTTAGAGCTCTTTTTGCTAGAATGTTGTCATTGAAACTTAATCCTAGTAAGTGATAAATTCAAGTTTAAGCTTGATGTGTGATTCGCTAAAGATTTATTGATGTATGGTTTGATTTATGATATGACAACAGAAAAAAGCAAATTCGTTTTCAAGAAATGGTTAGGTATTGAAAAAGAAGTAAGTCTTTGGTATTCATTTAAGATTATCAGCTTACCAAAATTGAACATTGTTTGTTTCTTCTGCGTTTCTTTTTTACAGTTTGGAGATGAAGCTAGTCAGAATAAAGTATTAGAGCAAGCTAGAGCTTATGTACAAGCTTCTCAAAGTAATTGTACAAAGGAAGAGGGTGCAGATGAGCAAGATGATTGATAAGTAGGATTGTGGTAGTTTGATTGATTTGGAATTATAATTTGATTATTACGTTGAGCTTGAATGAATCTTTTTGCGCAAAAGAAGAATCGTGATTGGATTAAGTGAGTTTTGTGCATCTTGAAAGATGAATAAGTAGGATCGACAGACACAGAGAGAGGATGGATGGGAGTTGTTTCTTGCCACAATGATATGCCCGTAAATTTTGCGCGAGAGCTATAGCGTGGTTCAAGTGTCACTCAATGCATCATCCTATTCAGCAGAATGGCAACTGAGTTGATGAGATAAAGATGCAAACAATAAATCATGAAATACTCTGAAGCTAAGCAACCCTGCAAACTATCAAGTATACATTATCATTCGATGTTGAATACTCGAGGCCACTTGCAAGAAGTTTCATGTGGTGATTGGGTGATTATGCATCCACCATACACACGCTGTTAGCTCATGGCATCAGAAATATGGTCTTTTGATGTTTGAAAATATCAACAGAAGGCAGAATATAGGTTTGATTGTCGAAAATGATTGAAAGACTTGTTGCTTGGAGTTTGATAGATAAAACTTATCTTTTTGTTGGTGTTTTATTGAATTATATCGTGTGAAGGTGTCTTGATATGATATTGGTTGGGAAGCGTAGGTTGCAATTAATAAAAAGGCATGTCCTCACGAGCATCAGCAATATCCTTGTGAGTTGTTTCTCACTGTGAGGAAACTGCGCGCAGGGGAATGGCGGCACCACCGGTTTCATATCATGGCTCATGAGTCTGGTGGGTGCAAAGTTAAAGTCGTACTTCAAACGAAGGGGTGACTCGATCGAACTGGACTTGAGATGATCAACGTGAAGGATTTCCAACCTGTCCGGCTTGAAGATACGATGACTGCTTGACATCACTGACTGCCTTCATTGGTCCAGATCAATTCTCTCAATAGAGCCTCATCTCAATTTCAATCCGGCCTGAACAACCGAGGAAAGCAGGCTGGACATCTCGCCAGATGCAACTTTTGCCCGGTTCTGGTCAAAATCCTTTACTTCAAGTCTATCCCGAAGAATGATCAGCCCTTTGAAAGAGATTGACTGGATTGCACGCATTGTGCTCAGCAAGAAGTCATTGAGGGGAGGACTCTTTTGAGTATAAAAAGACTCGTTTGCCCCTCATTCCTTACTGTTCCTCATCCTGCTCGTTCATCAAATCGTATTTATTTGCCTTCCTTCATATCTATTCATCTGCTCTTCATATCATTCAAATCACTTCTACTTTCACTTCTTCGAACACATTTCCTACACACCTTACATACTATCTACTTTCTTTCACGCACATATCATTTTTTGATTATAACACAATTTCTATCAACTTATCTATCATCACATACTTTTAACTTATAACACTCTCAACAATATGCAACTCAACATCGCTTACGTCGTCGCCGGTCTTCTTGTCTTCGTTTCATGTAAGCACACATGCCTTTTCAACTTTCTCTTTCCATTTTGACGCCTCTTACTGAAGTCACTCCACTTTTCAGCAAACTTTGGTGAAGCCGATGCTCGTATGATGACTACTAGCCACAAAGGCGCAGAAGCGTTAGTAAATTCTCTGAACCCATGGCCAAATAAAAAACACGTTGACTGACTCTTTTATTTCCCCCAGTCACCTTGAACACAAACGTCAAGCAGTTGGGTATGTCCCACACACTGCTGCTGCTAATGGCGGCTCCAACAACGCCACCACTGCTCAACCAGCTATGGGAAGCGGAACCGTTCATAACGTGGCAGCCATGCCTTCATCACCGAACATGGAATCCGTCAAGAGCTCTCCTCAAAACTCGGGTTCAATTGTTTCGCCTATTTCCAAGGCACCCGTCTCTGCTGCCACCCCACCGCCTCCCTACTCGCCGCGTCCTAACGCTCCAGTCGGAGGTCCAATCCCTGCAGCTTCAACCCCAGAAATCGTCTCACCGACTTTGACGCGTCCTGTTGGCGTACCTATTTCACCCTCTTCAGGAGCTGAACGTCCAATGCCAATACTTGTTGGCGGTGGACAAACCAACGGCTCATCCAGTGCCCCTTACCACGGAAATCCCATCACCGCCCCAACTACCGAGGCTTCTTCTGCCCCATCAGCAAGCAGACCCATTGTCCCGTTAGCTGGTTCCGTATCTTCGCCAGTCGGTGACGTCAACGGATCACCCGTCCCTATCCCATCAGCCGGTGCACGAGGGACACCCATTCCATTTGGAAACAACGCTCCTCTCCCGATTGCTGGGCGACCACTTGTTGTGCCGGGCGTCGGCTTTGCAGGACCTGGTCCTATCGTCGGAGCACCCATTGTTGGACTTGGTGGACCTTCAGCAGGCTTTGCTGCTGGACAACACGTTGGTGTTGGAGCACAAGTTGGCCAAGGAGTTGGGTGAGTACATACATTCTCCTTCCGCATTCGAATGAGATCGAGTCATTGATGTTTCTTTTTCTTTCAACAACAGCGTTGGCCCAGCAGGTGTCGGAGCCGGTGCTGGTTTCGGTGCTGAAGCCAACGTCGGTCAACATGCTGGGTAAGCGCAACATCTTCATTTTTTTCAATCAGAGACACAATACTTATTTATTTCAATCACAGTGTTGGTCCGGTAATCAGCGGACCTGGTGCCGGCTTAGGTGCCGGAGCCCACTTTGGAGCTGGTGTCGAACAACACGTTGGGTGAGTTTTAAGCGATCAATTTTGCACACTTCGTCATTACACCTGAGCTAACATCAGGATTTTCAACAGTGCTGGTCAAGCTCTTGGTGGCTTAGGCGCTGACCAATCTATTGGAGCTGGTGCTGGAGTCGGTGTTGGAGTCAGGCAGTCAGTCGGCAACGGCGTTGGGCTTGGTACTTTCCCCGGTGCTGGGCTTGGTGCTGGAGCCGGTGCTGGAGTAGGTGCTGGATTCCATGCTGGTGCAGGAGTCGACCAACATGTCGGAGGAGCTGGTCTAGGTGCCTTCCAAGGTGCTGGATTCAATGCTGGCGCTGGTTTAGGTGCTGGGGTTGAACAACACGTCGGGTAAGTCCTAATTTATCACCTATGAATACGTGGGAAGCAACATGACCATTAACCTTACAAATCATGAACAGTTCTGCTCAAGGCTTAGGTGCTGGTGTAGGCGCTGGTCAATTCGTAGGAGGTGGTGCTGGATTCGGTACAGCAGCTAGGCAATCAGTTGGTAGCGGTGCCGGGCTTGGTGCTTTCCAAGGTGCCGGATTCAACGCTGGAGCCGGTGTAGGCGCTGGAGCCGGTGCTGGACTTGGAGCTGGAGCAGGTGCAGGTGCAGGATTCCATGCTGGAGCAGGAGTTGACCAACATGTTGGCGGTGCTGGCCTAGGTGGTTTCCAAGGTGCAGGATTCAATGCTGGTGCAGGTCTAGGTGCTGGTGTCGAACAACACGTCGGGTGAGATTTACTTGCTCAACATGAATACTTGCGTCATACAACATATACTAACTTCACAAATCTTCAACAGCGCTGGTCAGGGTCTAGGTGCTGGAGTCGGCGCTGGGCAATTTGTGGGAGGAGGCGCTGGGCTTGGTGCTGGCGTAAGACAATCAGTCGGTAGTGGCGTCGGTCTCGGTGCATCCCAAGGTGCTGGATTCAACGCTGGAGCTGGTGTAGGTGCCGGTGCCGGTGTAGGTGCTGGAGCCGGTGTAGGAGCCGGTGCCGGTGCTGGACTCGGTGCAGGTGCAGGATTCCATGCTGGAGCAGGAGTTGATCAACATGTTGGCGGTGCTGGCCTAGGTGGTTTCCAAGGTGCAGGATTCAATGCTGGTGCAGGTCTAGGTGCTGGTGTCGAACAACATGTCGGGTGAGATTTACTTGCTTAATATGAAAACCTCTGTCATACAGCATATACTAACTTCACAAATCTTCAACAGCGCTGGTCAGGGTCTAGGTGCTGGAGTCGGCGCTGGGCAATTTGTGGGAGGTGGTGCCGGGTTTGGTGCTGGCGTAAGACAATCAGTCGGTAGTGGCGTCGGTCTCGGTGCATCCCAAGGTGCTGGATTCAACGCTGGAGCCGGTGTAGGTGCTGGTGCTGGTGCTGGACTTGGTGCAGGAGCCGGTACTAGAGCAGGCGCTGGATTCAACACTGGTGCCGGAGTTGAACAACACGTTGGCGGAGGCGCTGGCCTAGGCGGCCTTCAAGATGCTGGATTCAACGCTCGTCAACACGTCGGCGCAGGACTTGGAGCTGGTGCCGGCGTTGGTGCCGGCGTTGGTGCCGGAGTTGAACAACACGTCGGCGGAGGTGCTGGCCTAGGTGGCTTTCAAGATGCTGGATTCAACGCTCGTCAACACGTAGGCGCAGGACTTGGAGCTGGTGCCGGCGTTGGTGCCGGAGTTGGTGCCGGAGTTGGTGCTGGAGTCGGTGCACGAGCTGGTGCCGGCGTCCATGCTGGTGCTGAGCAACACGTTGGTGCTGGAGTGATTGCATAAATTCATAGCGTATAAATTGTTTTAAACATCTTTCACTACTCACATTGCAAATACAACTTGTAAAGTCTTGCTTATCATGTACCATTCATATCAAAATCACTTTGTATATATGAGACCATTGACATTATAAATTATAAATCACACCCACATTTTCATCACATTACAACCTTGCGCACCTCAATTGCTTTTTGACACTTCCTTAAGTTCGTCTTTGACATTCAAATCGCGCTTCTTTGCGGCAGTGATCTAAGTAGGGTCAAAACTTTTTAGTGATAACACCAAACTATTTCTATCACCTTTCTGGCAACCTCCATTCATAGATTTTGCCAGCTCAAAACCACACCATTGCTACACACAACATATAACGTGCAAACATCTGAAAAGCCATCCTTCAACTGAAAAACTTTGTTTAGATGATCAATCATATTTACCAGATCTACCCTTTCAAACTATCAAGACAACCAAGCTAGACATCCTGATATACCAATGTAGAACTGTAGAATCTGTTTATATCAAATAAGTTCAATACCATAATGACCAAGCTTACGTTGATTGAAACCAAAGCTGGTTCAAAATTTTGCAGCATCAACCCGACAATGCTGGGAGCTTGCTTCAAGTCATAGAGACAATTGCAATCCTGGTGTAAAAGCCACGATTGGTATCTTTGTACTAGGTTCCAGGCGGGATCTACATCCCTGGGAAAAGCCGCGCTGCCTGGTTTCTTGTAGAGTAGATTGCTCTTATGTGACAGGCTAAGTGTTGGGTTTGACATCAAAAGGCGCTTCTGAGAATCAGCCCTCAGTGCTGTACGGAATACGTCGCGTGCTTATTTCTAGTAGACGACTTAGCCTGGGTTTGTGAAAGCCTCATCATTAAAAATTGGTGCGCTCAATGGATATTACAATGTGTACACCAGAAGCTCCATATCTCGGACCCACGTCATACCGAGGTATATATATCCTCAAGGAGATCCGTTCTCCGGAGCTTTATCAACCTGAAGTACAATTGATTTACTTGTCTTTTTGAATGCCTCAAAACTTTTTCCGCTCATCTTTTTGAACAAATATCACTGGACAAACAGCGTCAGTAAGCACAGTAAAATCGCGATTTGAAAAACGGTCACTGACGGTCAATGTCTCCTTGGACCAAAATGAGTGGTCTTGCCACTGGTCAGGTAATAATGAGGCTTTTACTCTTTGTCTTGGGAGCATTATAGTTTTATCTAACGATTCAGACGGGTTTTTGTTGACTTGTTCAAGAAACCATATTTCCTTGACCTGATGTTGTGTCAGATAGTCGAGTACTCGCGCATAATTCATGCCGACCTGATGCGGACCATGTGAATCATCAGAAAGAGTTAAGCGACCACCAAACTTGGAGATCAACTGAGAAACGAAGTAAGACCATGAATGGAATTTTGTCAGATTGTGAAGTTCTAGAGAGCAGAAGACGAAGAGATCTGTGAACGCACTTTCAAAATATCCGGGCTAGGATAAGGTGTTGACCATCCTTTTTTGAGTGCAGCAGAATTAACTTCGAAAAGTGCGCCATAGGACATACCAAATTTAATGTTTCGTTCAACTTTATCCCATATCGATTTATCTTTCTTTAAATTCAGATCAGGGTAATATAACAAACATAAGTCGAAATGTCCAATGACTTCTGGTTGAAAGCGGACCATGAGAGCATACTGAGCGTCAAAGTAATTAGAGCAAAGTTTATAAAGGCTTTCTTCTGTCGGATTCATCGAACTATCGGGGGTCAAAGATTGACAAGCTTTATGAAATGTTGGTTTATCAAAATCAATTGGGATTTGATTAACGTGATGAAGACTTCCAACTAGATAATCAATTGAATCTCCATGATTTTTTAAAACTTGATCGAGTAAGGATGTTGTTACCTCTTCATCAATCATCTCCGTTTCGATTCCGATTAATAAATTTATTTGAGATGAGTACTTTGATTTCAAGTGATTAGCTTCAATAATAAACCGCTCGAATTGCTCAGATAGTTCGTCTACACCCATATCCCGCTAAAATAATTTCAGAGATCATGGATGAGGATAATTTGAGAGATACAATAATAAATTTTCAAATCAAGATACACAAATATATAATGAGTTTCTCGCACTTCTTCAGGATAAAGATCCATAGACCGATTTCGTGGCATATGTTCTGAAAGGCCATAGCTGATGAAACCTTTTTGGATTGCAGTCTTAATCACATCCTCCAGATTTCCAGTAGCGTGTTTACAAAACTGACCAGAATGAGAATGAAGACTGATAGGCATCGTTCGGTTAATTTGATTTTCTTCAATGCTGAGTTCCAAGACTTTTCCAGTTGAAGCCGCAATGAAAAAGCCGATGAATGTATGCGGGGTCGAGATCCGAGCGGCCCGTGACCCGTTATAAGCTGACCCAAATCACATCCACAGGAACGCTGAAAGATTCCCAAAATATCAAAAGTCGAGAATAAGAAAGAGATGATACCAACACCTGACCTCACTCATATCAGTCGAAGGGACTATGATGATGTTTATGAGCCAGCAGGTGCGCTAAGAAACCATGTTGATTTGTATATTCTACATCGATCCATCAAATATTCTCTGATCTAATTCCATTTTACATTCAAGAAAATCGTTCTTAGAAGACACATTCATCTTGTTAGATGCCCTCGAGGCCGATTTGGATTTTTTGAAAGCTCTAAGACCTTTGATATGTGTTGAGATAGGGTTTGTTTCTTGCTTTACCACAGGTTGAATGCTTGTGGAGTCTTCGACTGACATTTATTTTGCTCGATGATGGGCTTCGTAGATCAGGTAGCGGTTGTGTGTCTGTTTTTGCACAGAAAATTTTATCTGGGATCCCAACATGTGAGACGTACTTCTAGGCTCGCCTCCTTGAACATTGCTCCATATGTTTAGTGGTTAACTCCCTTGCAAATATCATTGTACCGAACGACACCTCAACTTTTTTTTATTGAAGTGCATATATGCACAGATATCAACGCAAAAGCGCTTACAGTGACCAATTCCACCTTTCAAAAGAACTCGCTCTCAACACCCAATCTAGTCCGAACCTCTCTCCTCAACTCTCTTCGACTCCAATCCTCCGTCGATCTTTTACTCTTCAATCCTCCCTACGTGGAAACCTCAACGGAGGAATATGAGCAAGCAACACAAGGTCACATCGAAGCTAGCTGGGCCGGTGGAGCAAATGGAATGGAGCTCACCAATCAACTCTTGGATTCACTACCTTCAATCCTGTCTCCTAATCGAGGAGTACTTTATCTAGTGGCAATTAAACAAAATAAGCCAGAGGAAATTGTTTTGCGGATGAGAAACTGTGGCTTTGATGCTCGGGTCAGTCAACTTTCTTTACTATCCATGACTCCGCATTTCCTTGATTTCAAAGAGCCTTTTGGGCGGGAGAAGTCTATCTACTTCACAGATTGACATAGCATCACATTGTGCCTGCAGATTATCCTTCAACGTCGAGCAGGGCGCGAGCATTTGCATGTCTTACGGATTTCGCTGTCATCTACAGAGAATGAAATATAGATGACATTTTCTGGATCAAGAATTGTAGAGCACTCGGAATGTTTTGGCAGGCAATCAGTGTTGAAGATGTTACAACCAATTTGCAAGACAAGAGTGGTCATCTTTCTCATTTCAATGACAGAGGAAATGATACTGGGAAATCAGACTCCAAGAAACCAGATGTAGCCTATCCTTAATTGATCACTTCAGATTTTTGGGTACCTCATTATATTGGCTATGCGTAGTCAGAGTTTGTTTGGGGGCCCAGAGATTCAGAGTTGTGATTTTTGATTGGATTGGATTGGGTAAACAAGGACAAGGCTTATTTTCACTTCCAAGATCAAATGCATTGGAATTGTCAGATGAGTTTTGTTTGGCTCCCTTTGTTTATCTGCCTGATTTTTCAAAGTTGATTGATAACTCAAGATGACAGATTGTGATGCTTGGAACTTATGATGACCATGCGCTAAGGGTTTGAATTGGTCCAACAATGGGAGTGTATCTATCCACTATAAGCTCTGCAGCTCTTGAATATCCCTCATCAAGCCAGTTTTGCCATTGGTCATCATAATTCAAGAATTGCCATCTTCTTGGTAGCCAACATGTTGATCAAATGTGTGTCACTCTCAGTTTCTTCCTCAAGATTTTCAGGTCCTTTGTTGACTAAGTGTAGTTCATGCTCTCCAAATTGCCAGTGTGACAGCAATTGAGTCGGCTTAAAGTTATTTGTTGGAAGGAAGCTTATCTTTCCAATGTAAGTGGAATGTATGAATCTTCTGTGTTGAATTGCAGGGTCTCATTGCTGTTGGGAATTGTTGAACTGGTAGGAGCATGGATGTGATTTTGGTTTAAGGAAAGAAAACCACTGTCCAATGTGCTTCATAAGTATGCCTTATGACTTTGAGGATCTCATGAAAGTGCTAAGCTTAAGTAGGCCTGTACTCCAACGTGGCCACATCCACCTCACAAGAGGGGCTTAGAGCATCCACAGTGGCAACCCCCAAATCTGGGCTATTGCCAAATATAGCAATAGGGCCCCGGGTTTTTACTGTAGTGGGGCACCCTATTGCTAAACATATTCAGGGCCAACTCCAAATTTTGACCCTTGGTTGTCAAATTTGACAACAACAGTGGCAAGCCCCAAATTGCCACACTTGCCAAACTCCATACTTCACATGTGTAACCACACCCATAATTGGGGCTATGACCGGCCCTGACCCCAACCACCCAAGCCTGCCCAATGAATTCTTGGAGACAAGCGGTACATGCCCCGGGTCAGCTAAGCTTGCCCTACAGAGTACCAGGAGCCCCACAATGGGCCTGGGCCCTCAGGGCGCCGGACCTAGCATTTTTGGTCCTATCCATCTAATACAGGCCCAAAAAGGCCCTGGTTTGCTTGAAAATGCAGCTGAGCCTTTCCAGGGCCGGGAGGTGCCCCAGGGCTGGCCACATTGTGCCAGGGCCAGGTCATAGCCCTACCCATAATACACCTCAGAGTATGTGTAACCCATACTCTATACCAGCTTGGAGCCCACACCATTGCATCCCAAGTGGTATAGGGCCCCACTAAAATTGGGTTTGGTCAATGCCATGCAATTGGTTAGGGCAGTGTTGGAGGTATGAAATTTGAATGATGTACAGCTGTAGTTCCCTACAGTATGTCTTGTAGCATATTTTGTAAGGTGAGTTATGGATTAGTTGATCATTGAGGTGTATTATTTGTAGACAGTCAGATTGTACAAGCTGGAGTTGACAGGAAAAGTGAGGTACAAAAAGATTTAGAGTGCAAGTAGACAAAGAACAAATTTGGCCTATTTTGGCATAAAGAATTGCCTAAGCTAAGTATGTATTTGGGGTCACACTCACACCCAGTGCCACAAATTCTCAAGTCTTCCTGGAGGGGTGCATGGCAAGGGCCAGGGCTTAGGCCACACATGACCCTCACCCTGAGCCCTCCATGGCCTTCACATGGCATTAAGTTCAGCTAATCCCCCCTAAAGGTTGTCTTAAGAAGGGAGTAGGAACTAAAAATGAGTTGTGCTATGATCGGACATTCTTTGTGAGCACCAACCAAGGCACAACTTGGTGTAGAGGTCCATGACTGAGTGACGTGTACAGATGTGGAAGTTCACATATGCTTATAATAGCAGAGGAACCTTGGGCAGAGGTTCTTGGTGAAGCAACATTGAAAATTTTATATTCCCCACGTTAGCACCACCCTACGCAACTGCACACACCACATCTGCTCACCACTCATCTCTCATTGCTTAGTGTTGAATCAAATCTTAAAAATACCACACAACCCAACCAGGCAATTTTGAGACCACAGAGTTTTTTCATGTGCTTTCTTTCTCAAGCAAAAACAGGCAGCCGCCGGCGGCAATACCGCAACCGCTCCGCTTTCAATTGCGGTTGCGGAGCGATTGCGGAGCGCTTTTGAGAGCCGCTATACCACCGCTGTTTATAGCGGTGACTGCGCTCCGCAATGCCTAGGTGAAAAATTCCATAGCGGCAAACCCGCTCCGCAATGGTAAGGGGCTGGGTTTGCCCCGCTATATAGCGGCGCTTCTAAAGAGGCTGTTGTTTTCGTTCCTAGTTAACACTGCCTGGTCTTAGGTTCGAATCAATTTCCAATCCTCCTCGTTTTTCTTCCAATGAAGATCAAGCAACTATTCAAAAAGGAACTTGAATTTGATTAAAGATAAAGAAACTGCAGTAGGTTCAACTTCTTTACCTGAAGACTCTCAACCAAAAGACGTGAATATAGTGATTGTAGGATTAAATTATACATCTAAAACTCAATATAGATCATTGGTTTGATTAGAATATGCAGAACCAATCAAGATTTGAAAGAAGTTGATTACAATATTTGTGAGTGGAGATGAAGGCAATGCTACATAGATCATCTGTTGATGAAAGTTTACCAATCGTTTATTACCTTTGATTCAGGTTAATCAAGATCTTTTCAATAGCTGAAGAAGATTTCTCAACATCACAAGCGGCAATCAAATTAAAATCGTTTAAGAACAAATTAACCTCATACCCTCAAACAATTCAAACTTATCAAATCAATCATCATCTTTTACAATAACCTTCAATTCAAATTCAATCAACAGAAACTCATCTTATAATCTATCAATCAAGACTCATCTTTGGATTTCTTTTGTTTGAATCACCATTTTTTATGACACCCGATTTACTTCATTCACCAATTTACTTTGGATCTTATTCAGGTTCAAAACTTCAATGTAAGCTTTTTTGTTTGAATCTCCTGTTTGATTTCTTATTTTTCAACTTACATTATACATATACTCCAGAGGAGTTGATCATGAAATGCCACAATATAGCAATATCACGCAGCAATTTGCTTATAGCGCACTATGTAGTGATTTCCACTATAGCGCGCTATATAGCAAAAATATAGCGTTTCAATCGCTCCGCAAGCCTTGAAGGGAAAAAAATTGATATATAGTGATCCCATTGCGGAGCGATTTATAGCGCAGGCTCCGCATCGCAATGGAGAGGGACCAAAATTCCATAGCGTTGCGGAGCGGTTGCAGTGTTGCCAGCGGCACCCATCCTGAACCGCTCAACTTGATAATGAAAAGACACCAAATTGAGCATGGATGGTACTTCTAAGTGTGAGAAACATTGAGCACACAATCCAAAAAAAATGGATTATATGGCAGGTTGTGCCAGGCCAGGCCGTGGCCTGGGCCACAAAAAATGCAGCGGATGTGAGTGTGAGTTTGGGGTAAGACTACACATTGTACCTTTTAGCTATTAGTCAGCACCCGCTCTCACTGAGCTTTTAGTCTTTATGTTGCAATCTAGTCATACTAGCAATAAGATCTTCACCCCTCTGTCCTCTCATCAAGGTCCTAGCACAGTGCACATTTGTGGATGCTCTTGGGGCTTTATACCCCAGCTTTGGCCTGAAACCACTAGGATTTTCAAGGAATCAGTCTTTTAGCTTGGGTGGCAACGGTACTGTGAGAGTTACACTAGAAAAAGTTTTTGGCCCTGAGGGCCTAAAATTGTGCATGTGATTTTGGAGCTAGCAGTGCTGTGGGTGGCCACAACTTGGTGCTGACCCCCCTACTTCTGAAAAGAGAAAGTGAAAACTGTGGCCTGAAACTTAACCCTTGTCTGACAAGAGGGTGGTGGGCGGGAAAATAAAAAATGTTTTGAAAAAACAAGTAAAACACTGAAGATATTGCTACTAGATTATACTGAATCCAGAATCTGATCATTGAGCTACTGAGATGAAAAAGGAACTGCATATGTTTTTGGTATGTATAATCCATTTGTATAAAGAATTTTTGGATGTGTGAAACTCAGGCAACTGATTAGTTTTGGAACAAAGGTGGGAACATGAAGAGGATGGAGCCTCAGATGAAAAAATTGAAAACCTGGAACAAATCCTCCATTGGGGTGGATGTTGAGTTGTCATTCTTTGTTTCACCTCTTCAGAGAGAGGTTCTCACGTTTCTCTGCTTGCCTCATTGACCCTTGCTATCCACATGTTCCACGATGTTGATACCCTGTACCAACTTCAAAGCAATTTTGCTTGAGATGTCTATTTGAGGGCTCTAAATGTCATTAAAGCTTGCAATAATTTTGGCGGAGCTTCTTCAAGGTCTTTTGCTTCTCCTTGTACCACATTTAGCCTGTCACCACTGATATACCTTGAGGCTATTTGATTCCAATACCAAGTGATTTTCACATGTTCTGCGCGCGTGTTGGCCCGCATGCTGAGTATGAGCCAGATTTACCACAACTCAACAGCTCAATCTTTTCACTTTACTCATGTAAAGTGGTGCTTAAATTAGCACAAGAGTGTCTACAGTCAACTCTCGATATAAGCAAGCCCCATCACAGTGCCCGTTGAAGGTGTCCTCGACGTCAAGGTCACAGTGCTAGCTGATGTTTCGCTCGCAATTGAACTGTTTTCAAACAATATCCATGTTCAGCGTCTACTGAGGACAACGGCTTATGCAGTCAAAACTTAGCCTTTGACTTAAAATCAACACCTACTGAGTGTGATGGTTGACCAAGCATTGATGCTGAGACTATGATGAACTTAGCAGCTGATCACGTGTATGTACATACATAGTCACTCATTTTCAAGACTATTGATCAACGTTGAGAATCAGAATCAGACTTCGACCAATAAGCTCATTACGACATTGATCGATCCTACTACTCAAGCTGATTCTCTTCAAGAACATCACCATCATCAAAGACTTTCCATTGGGAGCAAACCTGATTCAAGGAAAGACATCAAACGATTTCAACAATTCACAACTCATCTCAATCGAATTCAGAACCGTTATCTTCATCAAGTGCAAATCATCGAAGTATGTCGTATCATCAAACTGACTATAATCAACTTCGGAAGCATACTCCACTTCAAGCACCAGAAAACTCCTTTGATATCTCTGAGCCTTTGTCTCTATTTGTTCTGTTATCTTTCCTAACTCGGATCAAGTTCCAACCCAATCTGTCATCACTTTAGATCTATAAGAGCAGGTGTTATCTTTGAGCCTTTGTCTTTGTTTGTATGTTTTGCAATGAATTCAGGTAACAAAGGATTGTTGATCCCAAGACCAATGGCTTTACTTCGAAAGTTTCCGAATCCAGCTCTTGACGCTAAACAGGTGATCATCTTGATCAATGTCTTCATACGTGATTCATCAGAGTAATTACACCAAAAACTAGTTTGTTATTTTTCTTTTATTGAACCTTCCATAGTCGGGTTGAATCTTCTTCATGTGAATAAAAGATCTTTTCTTATACATTACTACCAAGTAAACAAGGCAGCTGGATATGAAGTTGTATTTTGTATAACAGTTCTTTATTACCAGACAACACGATATTGTTTTTTGCTTGTTTGTATGAAACCCTTGTTTTTGTCCTCGTTCTGGTCTGTTCAATTTTGTTTGAGCGGCAGAGCAACACATTTTTTGTTATTTTTGTATAGAAACGCTTTTTGACAACAACAAAACAACTATGAAGTGCACTGACCCAATAAAACAGCAAAACAAATTGCTTTGATAAAAAATCAAACTCAAACTTGAGTGGGAACTGAGTAGTTTGGCTTGGAGTCCCTGACGGTAGGTGAGCACTCAGGGAGAAGGGGCTGAACAACTTTGAGTAAGAGTAAAGTTACCTTTGTTTGTCTCTGAGCGAAACCTGGCCTTTGTTTGTGTTTCTCAAAGACATGTGTTACATATGCGAACAAAATACGAACAAAATTACACCCTAGCTGTGACCTCGACATTGAGGACGCATTCAACGGGCACTGTGCATGTATGCATATCGCGATGTAAGCAAGGGTTGCCACGCGATTTTTTTTGGTATACGTGAGTGCTCCGCCAAAATCAAATTGCTTGATGCATAATGATTAAAGCATAAGATTGGCAAAAATATGCTCTTATCGCGAGTTTTTCTCTGTGTATACAAGCATAAATCTCACAGGAGAGGAAAAATATGCTTTTATGGTGATTATTTGTGTGGTAAGTCCGATTGCAGGGCGGTACCATATTGACTCGGCGGGGCCGGGCTGGCTCCGCCCCGCTCAAAGTGGGGCTTATATTTGCGCGCCGGGGGCCCATTCTCACCATAAACGCATAATTCAAGCCAAAAAAGGGCAAAACTTGAATTATGCTTACTTCGTGATTATGCATTGCTCGATGTAAGCACAGCAAATCTGTCGACGGTCGATATGCTTACATCGAGAGCTGACTGTACAAGGCCTATAAGAAGCTTCTCAATTTATTTTGAGGTTACACAATGTTCAAAGTCTTCAAAAAAGGTTTTCAAGCCAAATTGCGTGAAAATTGGTCCAAGTCGGGGTGTAAGCCCTAAACCCCTCTTTGAGACTGGACGTGGCCGCGTTGGAAGAGGAGCTTAGTCAAGCTTATGAAGGTGTTGATTAACAAAAAAAATTGGCCAGCATCAGTTGGGTGGAAGCCAACATTTGAGCAATATGCCAGCGTGTGCGGGTTTGACTGTATGCATTCAAATTTCACGCTAAGTTCTATGTACATGTCACTTTTTGGTCCTGTTAGTTGTTTTTTGAGGCCTTTGATACCAATTTCATCGGTAACATCCGACGGTTTTTGCCTTGATTTGGGCAGTTTTGCTCCTTTTCCGCTGGTAACATGCTGTATTCCGCGGGTTTACCTCTGTGACATGCCATTTCATACAGATTCGATACCTGTATTGCTATTTTACGTCGGTATGTTGTTACAGCTCTTTTTTGAAAATTGGCCGATTGATACGTATTTCGTCGGTAACTCAGCCAAAATCTCGACCCCCGATTGATACGTTTTTCGTCGGATGGTTCCATAGGGGCTTTCCGGGGTCCTCCTGTTACGTGTTGATCAGCCTGGCCGCGTGAAATCTACTGTATAAATCTCACTACTTTCTCTGAATGCCTTCTTGACTGTTTACCAAGACTCCCTCATCAAATCTCAACACCACTTCAGCTTCTTCAATCGATCTCCTTGAACATCCATTCAAACTCTTCATCACCATGAGTTTCTCTCAAAGGACTAGAGAAATCTTCTCTAGTGCTCGTTTTCAAAGAACCCTCTTTTGCTATTTCCCTGCCACTTATTTCACCATCGTCTTCATGATGTATGGAACTTACAAAATCATTTTTGGACATCAAATTCCCGAGATCTTTTTCATTCGCTTTCTTGCCCAACATCTATGGCTCATCCTTGCTTGGTCTTATCTTATTGCTCAAACCGTTTATTCTACCTTCGACCCATCTGCAAAGAAGAAGTCTTATGTCAAAGTCGAAAAAGATATCGAAAAAGCCGAAAAAGGGATCGAATTTGTCGAAAAAGATATCCAACTTGGTCAACCTGAATCAGCTCCTGCTCCATACCTCCTCGTCACCAAGTTCCACGTCTGTGAAATCTATTTCACCAAACACCCTTCCACCATAATTTGTTGAAATCGACCCTGGTCTGTCATCCTTTCTGTTGTGATCATTCCTGCTCCGTTTTGATTTCATCCTGACAGTTTGTTCCTCATTATATGATTCTTTTTAGGCAAATGTCTGTCGAACACCGGTCTTTCTGGTCCCGGACTTCTCATGACCTTCAGGCTGTCCTACACCAACACCACCTTACCATGAACTCGCATCCAAAGATTCATTCCGATTGTGACACCATGAATAAGATCCTTTTTTATCGAACTCAATTCGATTTGTTTCACACATTCTTGCTTTCCTTGAATGTTATTTTATATCATCCTCAGTCTCTTCAAACGATGTTTGAGTAAACCCATGTATAATCTTAGTTTCAGATATTGTTTGGAGTGGCAAAGACCTCTGACATCACACTATATCTCGTCATGTATACGCGCCATGCTCGAGAAGGCGCGACTGAGGACTGAAGTGACAATGAAATCTCATTGATCTGCTGTAGTAAAGTGCTCTAGGATGGATTCGTGCCCCGCTCCCGCTGATTCCAAACATACACTTAACAAAGCCTTTCATTGCGTGACTGGTCGGCAGATGAGCCGTATTGAGTCTACCCAAGGTCAAATTCACTTCTCACAGTGCAAACTATACTACACCACAGACAAAACCATACGCATCTTGCATAAATCTCATGGTTGGATTGGACGTAATTGCAATGGTATCTGTTTACAATATAATAGAAGACAGCGCGACTTGGCAGATGAACACGAAACAGTAATGCTTTGATATTTTTGAATATGGCAACACGCCATGAGCCGTCACTGGAACCGACTCTCTGCCCGTCCTGAATTGACATAGCTTATAGTGCTTCAAGTAGGTGATTATAATCAAGTGAATTGAAGTTGGAATCCAGCGGACTCATTCGATAAATCGAAAGATAGTTCATCAAGAGAGACGAGAGATGAGGAAGCCTTAAGTCTAGTCACCCATCACAAGTTCAGGTGTATCATCGTCTTGGTTTTCTTGATTAGTAGTAGTATGATGTATATCTGAGTTTGAACTCATCAACATACTTTCAGTAGCACCTTTCTGTTCTTCTACTATGGTTGTTGTATCGTTTTTGAAAATCCTAATTAAACGAAGTCTAGGTAAGAATGAAGGATCACTTGAAACTTCTTCACACCATTGTCTAAGAAGTTTTACACTTTTAGGACACGTTAGATCTGGTACGACTAAGAAACCCCCCCGCCCAAGAAAAAGAAAAAGATGTATATCGAATCAGTCAACAAAGTTAATCTACTTAATGAGGAACTCGAAGAGATTTACCAAATCCAGTAGTATACTCAGCTTCTTCTGTTTCTTGATCGATTTCAATCCTTTCCTGTGCAACAGATTTCGTACGACCAACTCGACGTTGTTTACGTTCAGATTCTAATTCAGCAGAATGACGATGAATGAAATCTTGAACGATTTGATGAAGTTCAGGTAAAGTACAAGATCCAATCGAAGGATCTAAAGCATAACAAAACCAAACTAATCGATTAACTAAGAAGAAAGAAAAAGAAACCAATTTAAATCAGCTTCAAACTGATCAGTTATTGAATCATCAAAATCGATTTTTCTTTTTTATTGATTTGTTGATTTACTTCTTGAAACTTCGTGTTTTTTTCTTTCTCGTTTTGCTACTGATAGTTTATCAGTACGTAAAGCAACCTAAACCAAAATCCTTCGTTCATCAAATCAAATCATTCCATATATATTACGAGAACAAAAGATGAAACTTACTCTACAAATCTGTTTAGCTCGTCTAGAATGAGGATGTAATTGAGCCAAAGCAGCTTTTCCTTTTTTACTTTGAAGTGCTTTTGTAGTCTTAACCCTATAAAAAAGAATAAATAAGATCAATCCAAATCAGTTTCCAAGAAAAGATAATTTGATCAAAACTGAAATTAAAGGTTTACCTGTTGTTTGGCATTTTCGTTTTCGTTGGATTCGTATGGTTGGTTCTTGCGTGAGAATCGAATCGAAAAAAAATTGGAGCGAGTTCTAAATTGTGTGTATTTTCCGTGAAACTTCATACATAAGCTACTAAGATCTGTCACAAGACTGTCACAATGTATCCTTGCTTCATGCACAACTTCCAAGCCATGTGATCAAATATTGTCTTTTGACCAAACTTCCTCAACATCAAACTTTGCAAGACTATTGAACCCATATAATTTTATCCTTGATTCATCCATACCTATCAACAATATCATTTCTCAACCAAAAAATCATCACCATTATATGGGAATTTCAATTGATTCTGTCATTTTGGAAACTTGATTTTTTTTTGCAAACTCATCTTCCAAGAATCTTACTTGATCATTCAAACAATCCAAAAGTTTTGGTTTTGTCTAGAAGTCAAATAGATAGACAAGCAATATGTACTTCAAATTCCTTAATGTCAGATCCAAGTGAAGAGCTCAAGTACCTATCTTTATAAATTCCAACCCCCCTTTGAAACCTTGTTCAAAATATCCACACTTGTCTGCTGCAGCTCATCAATATCTGTTTCTTTATCCATCCCACCCAATAAATTTCCACAGAATCATACCCTATGCAAGTATGTATGCCAAGAAAACCCCCTAGAACCTCAAATTTCCCACCAATCTTCAACTCAAGCACCAAAAAAAATCAAGAAGTCACATGAATAAATACCTTTATATAACCTGATTAAACCCAATTAATAAACCATTATACCCAACCATTATACCAAACCATTATACCATACCATAGCAAACCATTGTACCAAACCATTGTACCAAACCAAAGGAAACCAAAAAAATCAAGAAAAAAACCAACAAGAAAAACTTATGAATTGAACCCATATCAAACCATATCAAACCAAACTAAAATAAACAAACTTCTTCTTCATCTTTATCATGATAATCAAGAAATTCAAAATAATGTATCATCAACACAACTTAAACGTAAAAAATTCAATCAATAGAAAATCATTCATCACATACACAACTTCAATCAATAAGAAACAATTTCAAACAAAAAGACAAAGTATATAAAATTTATATAATTTTTTTATAAAATATATAGAAACAGAAGTTAAACAAAAAAGAAGTTTAGAATTAACAAAATCAAGGTAAAGATCAAGATCAAGAAAACCCTTTAATTTCACACACTTACACACAACTACACACACATGTTTTTAATTTCATTTTTTTCACCATTGATTCTTCATCCACACAATCCATCTGTTTAATTAAATCTTCTTTAATAACCTTTTTTTGTGATTCCCGTTTTTCTATTTTCATCAAGTACACTGATACCCAAAAAACCCATATTCAAGAAGACTCTATTATCCGATTCATGATTCTCAATTTGTCCATTTCTTTCAGTTTCTCTAATCATATTCTTCCCACAAAATAAGTAAATCAAAAAATATGACGAGCACCCATCAACCTAGAATTCATCAAATGAGGATGATCACGTGTTCCTCCACTTCTACCAATCTCATTCGACCCAAGCTCATGACCACCCACAGACCCCACCCCCCCAGCTCCTCCTGCTGCCCCTCCTACCTGATCCTGAATTCCACAAGAACTAGGAGGTCTTCTAGTGGTGGCATTGATCGAATGAGAACTTCCTCTTGTACTTCCATTTCCTACGAGTCCATGACTTACCATCTGACTCAACTCAGTTGAATAAAAACTCAACGATCTCTTCTTCTCTTCATCATCCCCTCCTGCCATCTTCTCATTCATCACATTCCATTCTCGATGATCTGCTTCGGCTGCTGCGGCTCGTTTAGCTGCAATCAACTTTCGGATCTGTTGTTTCTTCTTCTCATCTCTTATTCTTCTTTCTTCTGGACCACTCATCATGTAAGACCGATCATAAGTATCACCAAACTGTTTTGACAGTAACTGTGCCTGTGACGAGAAAGAAAGTTGGTGTTCTAGCAAACTTCTTTCACGCGCAATCTTCTGTAACAATTCTCGTTCGGCTTCTTCAATCTCGGCTATTGTCACTGATGATCTAGCTACTTGTGGTGCTTGTTGAAGAAAATGAGAATGTTGTCGATGGCTCAGTGGGCTTTCGGGGTAGAGAGGTGCTGAGCTTTCTCGCATGGTGGCTGATCTTGTAAGACTAGTGGTGGAGAAATGATTCGGTGCACTGTGATTGCCAGGTCGACTGATGACCGGCGTAGTATGCTGTCGGATCGGAGTGACCACTGAAGTAGGTGTGCCTGTAGGATGATTCTCAAGTACAGTTCTCGAAAGAGGTAATGAACCATGACCAGACGGACGAGACACGATGGGCACGGTCTGCTGACGAGTAGGTGCAGGGGTGGTGTGCTGCGTATGAGCACTGTTCGAAGGATAATCTGAAGCGGTCGAACTACGACTTCGATTTGAAGTCTGAGACGAAGGTAGATTGATCCTACTTGAGCTATTCAGCTCAGTAGAAGTCGTATTTGAAGCCGCTCGATCGGATGTAGGATGTGACGGGCTCTTACTACCACGACGGGTACGACCGATGACCTTTTCATCCATAAGTTTTTGTAATCGAATCGACCCTAAAAGGAACCGATGGAGGGCGCGTAAATCAGAGAGTTGTCTACCTCAAGTTCAACCAAGTAATGATGTATGTGTTTGTAAAAAAAAAAGAGAGACATATACAAGATAACCTGCTTGTGATTGCAGACGCCCCAATGAGCAAGAAAGATAGATTAGGAGAAAAAAACAAATCACTCAGACCAACCCAAACTCACAAACATCAAATGCATGAAGATCGATATGAAGTCGATAGTCTACCAAGGTAAGGAAGACGCGTTCGTTTGAGTTAACCTCATTGATTGGTAATCCCGAGATTTTAGCCCCTGATAAAAGAGATCAGATTAGCTCAAGATCCCGAGTGTTCCAATGATCAAAAGTCTGATCAACTCAAAAACTCACAGGCTCGATTAGAGAAATTACAATCCTGAAGATACTTGCTTGCACACATCAATGAAGCCAAAAACATTTTTCTGCCCGAGAGAACCGGATCCTTCATAGCAGTCACTAATCTTTCCAAATCAGCCCCACTCTTCTCATCCAAACTCCGATGATGATTCTCATACGCCAGTTTAGCATGATCAGATAAAGCCAGTCTCTCACGTATTGACCTTCTAGATTGATGTAAATAAAACAATCCGATCTTAAGTGTGTTAGGATTCGTACGTGATCTTCGAAGGACTTCTTTAATAAAGTAAAGTAATGAATGAATCGGAGCTGAATCCACATCAGATGAAATCGAAGATGGTGAATGGTTCGCGTAATGAGGCCAAATGGATTCCAAGGCGATCAGACTAACATGAAGAAGTGGATCATAAGAGCGAGGAGATTGAGTTGAAGTTGAAGTGGAATCTGAATTTGAAGAATTCGATCTAGGTGGAGCTGTGCCACTCAGATGACTTGGTACGACTTCTCTAGAAGCACTCGATGAGAATCCCATACGACGATTACTTGGGGATGGAACAAATCTAGGTTCAGGTTGAGATTGATTAGGATCTTCATGAGACGGACCTGAAGAGCGACGAAGTAAGTTTGGAGAAGATAAATAATGACTAGTATTCTGATTGATTGTTCTAGACCGGTTTGTAGGATTATCAGCTTGAAATGAAGAATCTTGATTCGAAGAGGATTGATTGAGGATTGAAGTTGATAGTTTGAGAGAGGATGAAGTGGGATTTGGTCGTTGTAGTTGAGGAGTACGAACTGGAGTGGTAGTACTAAATGAAGCAGATCGAGTAGGAAGCCCATCTGAATTATAAAGTGAACTCCGATCACGAGATGAATGATGATTGTTGATGATGGGAGTATGATTCGATTCAGGATTATGCTGCTGCTGTGACTGTGACTGATGATGAGCAGCAGTAGATTGAAGAGAATCGATGGATGAATGAGTTGAATGTTTTTCTTGATGATGATATAGAACACCTAATTCTTTAGCTAAAGCTTCATCTATGATAACTCTACTAAGACTAGATTTTCTTGAGATTGAAGAACGATTGATTTGATGGTTTGAAGAAAGAGCCAAAGAACCGATAGCAGCAGTTGTATCTTGAATATAACCAGGATGATAATAAATTGAATTAGTCGTACTATTAGTTGGATGAATTGAACCTATACCTAATGGAGTCCTATCATAATCGCATAGAGGAGTATCCAATTTATGTAAAGTAGGAGCACGAGGATAAGATAAGACGAGCATGTTGGAGTCCATCTTGATTATTGAGTTTTGGTTCTTGATGGTAATGAGATTTGAAGTGGATCGAATCGAATCAAAGAAAGAAAGAAGTATCAAGTAAGAAAAAGAAGATAGGAGATCATAATAATATTAATGATAAGTTAGTTAGTTAGTTGATTAGCTAATCCATCAAAGAGTCAAGAGTCAAGAGATGAATACCCTTTCTCCTTATCAGAAACTACAAATCAAATCAAATCAAATCAAATCAAACTGAGAATCTTTGAATTGCCCTTTTACCATTCATCATCATATCACACCCTTTCTTCTTCTTCTCCAATCTGATCTGATCTCATCAAATCAAACCAATTCATTCATTCCTAAATATTTACACATTTACAAAATCATGATTGTATAAGAAAGAATTACATCATCTAATTGGTTCATCACTCATTCTGGAATCTGATCTGTGAGAAAAAAATCAAAATCAAAATCAAAAATCACTTTGGATGACTATATGGGAATCGGAGTCACATTAAGCTTTGAAAATCATTATATTCATCATCATGCAATCAAACCTATCATCAAAAGACACAAGGTCAAGCATTCATAAATAATGCATTGAGCCTTCAAGGTTGATTTGGACTTTTTAACTTCTTGAACTTCATTCCCCTACAGTAAAACTTGACTTTATAAAACAACTGCATAAATCCTTTCTTAACCAAGGTCTCATTACTTATATCCACAGCAATAAATTTCACTGATCAATCAGAAGATAAAAAAAATCACAGCTATTAACTGGTCATACCATGAGAAATGGGATCTTGAAGCCCACTACAAGACTGTCAAGGTTAGAATCAAGCATGATGGGCACAGATTTTAAAGACAAACACGTTCCAAGTACTGCGTAAGGGGTTCAAAGTTTACATTTTTCAACTGAGCGTGCCACTGCAAGAACTGTGAGATCAATATCATCAACTCAAATATATATGAAGCAAGATCAATCAAAGTCAACTAGAACCTTAATTTGTCAAATATCCTCTCATGCCAATGGCTCGAGTCCAGGCTCATGATGATGATGATACATGTGGTCTCGAGGGCTTTTCTTTGCCCGCTTGTGACTGAAGAGACTTACAGCAAGTTAGATCATTACTCTAATCTTCACTTCCTTTCGGCCCAGGTTACAATTACGCCAACTTACTACAAAAAAAGTGGTTGAGATCAAGTAGGGTATCAATGAGACCAAGTTCATGTGGACTCATGATTTATGATGATATTTACCTCAACTCAAGTTGCTATTTTGGGGACAGCCACGTGATCAAATTATCATCACCTGTGTGATCTGACCCCAACAATTTATTTATCAATCAACTTCATATTTTTCTACAAACTAAAGTATACATTACAAGACGATTCAGTTATTGAACCCATCAACAAAAGTATAGCAAACCACGTCGATAAATGTTTTCTTCATTCATAGTGTCCCTGTAGAGATAGAGATACATACAATACAATACAAATCTTCTACAAACCTCATCAAAACAAAACATCCATAGTTAATGAGTCTTAGTCTTAACACAACCACCAAAAACCAAACTAATCTTTAGAAAAAAAAAACAGATTACTACATATTAAATAAGAAAGAGATCCAAAGTCTAATGATGATGATCAATTCCAAACTCGTTTCACATATTGTTCAATTAAATTCGGAATAACCAACAAGACCGGAGGATCGATTATGATTTCTTGATCATCTTTCGATTCCATTCCATTTAAAGTCTATAATAAGTCATCAAAACAAGTCAGATAAATCTTCTACTAATCATGAATTCCCGTTACAAGCAAAGAAATTCTCAAACCTGATGAATGCCTAATCTACCTACCCATTCCTCTTCTCGTACCCACCATGCCCAACTTAACATATCCTTTCTCTCTTCAACCCGAACCCGTTGTTTGATGATTGGATCCAGTTCACTTAATTCTTGACACGCTGATCTATAATCTTGATGGATTTTAGCATCACATCTTTGTGATCCTAAAATATCGATTCTCGATTGTAATTCTCCAATCGCTTTTACACATCGATCATACTCAGCAATCGAACGTGCTTCTTTCAAAATCTCTTCCCTACTTGTAGATGAACTTTCAATGATTTCAGTCAACAAACTTTTTAGTTTCGGTGGCTCATTTGATTCTAGATGATTGAAATCAAAGTTTGGTGATCGGTTGCCTTCTTTGATCAAATTTAAGATTTTCTGAAACCATTCCTTTAATGATTTACACAAATCATCATGCCCAACGATCTAAACACACCAATCTCAACACATCAGCCTCTTATCGAGTGTTATATCGAAGGCAAGATGGACAATGACTTACCTCATGAATAAATCGCCAATATGATTCTTTATGTTTATCCAAGAGATCAATCATATCAGCTACCCGAACTGAGCCCCGTTTCAACAATTCAATCAAATCTTTGATAAACGCTTCCGTATCCGAGAATCGCCGAGAAAGATCAGTGACTGCTGCAACTCGATAGATTGTAGGATAGTAAATATCTAAAAAGATCTTGATAGTCCGGATTATATAGTTGTTCGGCTCCAATACCATCTCAATGATGTGTTCTCGATCACGCTTCAAGGTTAATGAACTAATGATCAAGCTCCTCTCTAGTCAGCCAGAGAATAGAAGCTGAGCTACAAGGCAGACGAATATGCATAGACAAATAAGACACTCACCGCAAGATTTGACTGCATTTACGGAATATCCTTGATCCAACTGTATCGAGATCTTTGTAGTAATTTTCTCGTCCTGAACTTATTGTTTCAAGTTGTGAAACTGTTAATCGGTCATCGGCTCGTGACAAGATACTCATCACAATATCTTCATTCTTCGTTTCTAGATTTCACAACGTAAGTTCAGTTTGACCAACTTGTTAAACGAGTTTATGATCAATAGAATTCACATCTCACCCAATTCATCCCACACACCCCGTTTCTCCCGACCCGAGATGTAAACATAATCTTTTAAGGCTTCGAATGCAGCCAAGACGGTTTCTTTTTCTTCTTCCTCTTCAAGAATTACCTCAATCTGTTTATCAAAAGTACTAATCTGATTCTTCAACACGATTTGTACCATTCGTTGGAATAAACTTAACCCTCCGACTACCCATCATATAATACATTCAACACCAATCTAAAAATTCAACGGACGGAATCCGGATGATGTAAGCTTACATGGTTGTCCTAGAAGCAGGGTCACCACACTCTTGATAGCAAGTACAGGATTTACAATCTTGAGTCCTTGTCTAGATAAGATTCATATGCAAATCATGTAGTTCCATCAGCAAACCAACGTGATATATATTCAAAATCATCAGAAAAAGTTTTGTTTACTTTATAAGCTCATATGGCATCAAACTATCAAGCTTGATCACCAGTGCGCGGATTTCTTCAGCTGCGGGTCCTGTTACATAGATAAAGCTGATTTGGATGATTTGAGAAAATTGGTTTGGCCGGAAACGTGATCAGTCTTCAGAACTCAAGTACTTCAACCTCAAATGGCCTTCAAGATATAGAATCTCTTCACACGTTTCATACGCTTAAGAGCTCAAGTATTTCAACCTCAAATGACCTCTCTTCACACGTCGCATACGCTTACTGACTCACTGTAGTTCTGATGCGAGCCAAAGCGAAGCCCAAAATTCGGCATTTCTGTATAGTTTCTGCTCTTTGGTGAGAGCTGCGAGGGAATCATATTGAGCCACCATTTCGAAAGTACGATCCAGTTCGCCGTCTGTCCATTCAAACAATCGCAAGTTTAAGGTCTAAGTATTCAATGTTGACAGTTTAAGTAGAAAGATATGTCGTCTGACTTACCTTCATAGATTAAACGATGAATAAAATCTCGATAACCCTGCTTGGCCTGAGTGATAAGTTGACCGGCACGGACCCATTCTTCTTGGGCTTCATTTTGATGTCTATTGATCAGAGCGCTGGCTTCGTCACTGAGAGATGGGAGCCGATAAGTTTCCAAGAAGCTTGTTAGGTTTGGATCCGAAATGTTTTCCTCTAAACTCTGATCTATAAAGTTGAGCTGAGTGATGTTTAAATCTTTTGCATAGCTCTAAATGTCACTTTATCAATGATTAGCCATTCCAAAGTGAGAGTGTAGAACACACACACACAACAAGTGTTTCAATGAAGGAGAATTGAGGCGAAATGACCAACTTGTCGTAGGAATCGGATTAGTTCTGAGCTTGGTATTGGTCCATAAGACACTGATGTAGTTGGAAGGTGAACCAGAAAAGTATCCTAAAATTCAACAAATGCATCAGAAACATATAAAAAGATAGACTAGGTAGAATTCAAACCTACGTGTTTTTCTTCATAAACTGCACGGATTGAGGCATCATTCAAAGGTAGACGAGCATAAAGTTCATCGACCAATTTCATCAATTGATGATCAGGTCTAGCTGGTTCTGGAAACTGATCCATGAAACAAACAATCGAACCAATATAAGTGGATAAGATACGAGTATAACCCATCGAGATGATAGCTCTCTTCGTTAGCTCTTGTCTTTCTTGACTTGTGGAGAAGTTTCGAGAGTTAAAGTCATGAAAAAAGTATTGAATGTTGTCCCAGCATTCGGCTAAATAATCAAAAGTTTTCTTCAATATTAACTTCATTTAGCATTATCTATTATGATTTAACTTACATGAAGCCGTACTGAGACCTGGAAAGTGATATCCTAATTTTTGGAAAAGGAAAGATAGCATTGGAATCTGATTCTCATTACGTGATTCAAATATCTCAGAGTTATTTTCGCTGTTGACTGAGCTTGAACGATCGAGTTTCTTTCGTCTGAGAGTACTTTGAAAACTCGATTGAGAGCTACGAGATAATAGAGTGAATAGAGATCTTCGTGGTGGTGTGGATGAAGGATGAGATATTGGTAAAGAACGATGAGGTCCAAATGGATTACCGAGTTGATGAACTTGATCGATTGTTGAGATAGCTTTCCATTCTCGTTGCAATTCTAGACTAAATATTCAGATTCAAGTAGTTTGATTAGCTATGATATGGTTTGAAAGGATAACAAAGGAAAGGAAAGAGACTTACCAAACTAATGCTTTGTTGATAGCATGTAAATCAAATGGATTAATGATATCTTCCTCCATCTTGAATTTCTGAACATGTGTGTGTGTGTGGTGCTTTCAGGAGCATAGAGTTCGACTGCGACTCAGCATTTAGGGGATTGGAGACTTTATGAAACTTAAGTACAAACGTGATCATTCAAAATTCAAGTAGATTTCATGAAGCTTGGCACAATTCACACTGGTCTCTACTTCATCAGCTTCTCATTTCCAAACCATATGGTCATGATGATCAGTGCCAGTGGCTTGTATTGAGATTTTTAGCCTCCTTTCTTCCCTTCTTTCTTGAGTTCAACTAAGCCCCTGTCAATTCTTTGTTCTTTTTCAACCTCTCTGAATTTACTCGTTTGGTCACATTAGTCACTATTGCATAAGTGACACTATCAAGAGAATGACTCAATGATCCAACCAGGAAAGCAAATCAATTGCTCAATCATAATGTTTTATGATCAAGACATATCTTTGTATCACTCATCAACCAATTGGGTTCTCCAAAGTCACCATTGGAGTCTTCCATCTGTACAGGATTTTATGCCAATCAACACGGCCACCATGATTGCCGCAATTCCAAGGTAGCCAGATCAAGGAGCCCAATATAGTGATACAAGGGATCGCGATGGGCTAAATTTATGGAACCCTCAGGCTCTCAATACAGACACAAGTGATTGGCCAGAAAGCTTCAAGCTTGAAAACCACAGACACTGGTGACTGTACCAACAACAGGCGGTCAGATACCTTAGGGTGGGGAATCTTACTACTATGCAAAGATGTCACAAGTGGACATAGGACGTTTTATGACCCGCAACTGATGCGGAAGGCAGAGCGAAATTCAGTGGAAGGGCTAGTTTGATACATTTGTCATGGATCCAAAGTGCGAGGACGCGTCAAACAATCATCAGTTCATAGGTGATTCACTCGAATGGTAACTCTTTTAAACAATAGCCCATTGAAGTACGCGGGTAAGCGCAAATTTGAGTAGACACCGTAGCGGGCCCATGTCAGGCTGCGTAGAATTTTTTCATCGACATGGTTCAATCTTCGAAGGCTAGAGAGTGAGGCATGGAATCAAGGTAAGCACCAAGACATGTCATAGCAGATTCAAACAAAATGTTTCTCACCATCTCCAAATTCATAAGCGCCAGCCCGGTTTTTCTTAGCTTCGGTTTTAGCATTCTGAAGCGCACGATACATATCCGGATAAGCCGATCTGTAAGGGGCTCCATTGTCTATCAATGCATAACCGTCTTGGACCAGAGTGGTATTGATAGACGAAATCGACGTGGGGGAATCAGATGGCTCATATAATGATAGATGAAGTAAGCCTTTCTGTGCAGGATCCCGGTAGTCGATGTTGGCCACCAATGTGCGACCCTTCAATGAGACCGAGAATATCAGTCATGGACATTGAGCAGGGGGGTTATTCCCAACTTACCTCCACCAAAGACTTGAACCTGTCCATGGCTTCGACTCCATACTCCGAGTCTGTACCTAGAAGCTTCACAAAGCTTAATGTGGCTTCCTTAGCCTGAGCTGGCAACGTCTTGAATCTGACATCTAACGGTCTGAGATTTGAATGTGACACCGTCTCGGAATTGCCATAGTCGATGAAGACCACATCGGCTTCTTTCCTGGACATCATGTTCTTGCAAATCCTTGCACGGTACCATGCATTATCGACCGAAAATTTGGCTGAGACCAAGTCTCCAACGCGATACTGACCAGCATTGGGCGTAGTCGATGCCGTGCGGTGATGTAGCGAGAAATCGGACATCAGCTGTGTCAATTCAGGAATGCCTGCCGAGTCGAATAAGATGATCTTGGGGAATAAGTAAATGTTTGTGTAGCTACACGGTAATGAGGCTACTACTGACCGCCGTTCTTCAAGACTTGAACTGAGAAACTTAGCCGAGTCCCTTCCGAAGGTTCGCGCACGTCAGACCTATTGATCAATCCCAGTCAGCAAAAGCGAGAAGGCTAAGGGTTTCAATAGACAGAGAGGCTTTGATAGGCGAGCAAGAACTGACACAAGGATATCCACGTATTCCTTGTTAGGGCGAGCTGCGCCATCTTTCACACCGTTCGAGGCGTAGGTCAATGCTTCCGTATTCTGCGTGTCAAAATCTCGCCAAAGCTAAATTGTGCATGATTGTCAATTACAATGATAAATGTCGAATGTTCCGAATCATGCAACGGTTATACATGACTTACATTTTTGCGATTCTTCTTAGCCTCTTCTTCAGCAGCTAGGAGCTCCTTTCCGTAGGGAGAACGATCCAGGGAAAATTCATTACAGCTTGCCAAACCCTCACGAACGAGGAGGACAGAGAGGTTTTCAGTCTTGTTGAAAAATAGCGAGCCAATGAAGCCTATATGCATCAAATCCATAATCAGCACTGTCATAATAGAATAGCTTCAACACGATGATCATAGTACGTGACGGTCACCTAACCTCCACTCTTGTCAGTAGCCTCCACCTGAACATCGACGTCACGTTGTAAAATCAATTGATTGACAAAGTCCAAGGCCTCAGCCCCAAAAGGTTCGCTCTTTTCCCCTGGGTGTCTTGCGGTTTTGGGGCATTTGATGGCGCTCAAAACTAAAGTGAATTTCAAATCTTGTTTTGGGAACCAAATCTTGAACCGCGATCCACTGGCTACGTAGTCAACCACACCTGGCATTTTGGTCTGGCGCTTCCAGCCGGAAAGGTAAGAATTGGCTCGGTTCGCGTTCTTTCGAGACAAATCATCAGAAGCCGCATATATCAGTAGTGTTCAGGTTATACTTCAGGTCAAAACACACCTCAGAAACATCGGTGATCTTCGGCAATGGAAATTCCTTTCCAGAATGAAGGCCCTTGCCCTCAGTTTGAGCCCTATCCATCAACATTTGCTTGCGTAAGCTAGTGCACATGTGCGTTGCCAGGACTCAATTCGACATACTTCATTTCTGTCGCCATAAGTTGATCGTATTCAGACGAACGATCCTCGCCTTGACGATGTCGTAAGACAGTGGCGTACCCACGCTCAACCAGCAAGTTGGCCACGTTTCTTTGTTACAGTTCAGCTCGTCAGAAATTGTTCAGCCGCTGAGATATAGGTATACAAATGGACCTACACTCCGGCAGGCAGCTTTACGGTGGCGCATTCCTTTTCTTCGTAGTCGCCTTCTTTGGGCCGGATGTAGTCGATGGCGACTTGTACTTGCTTTCCTATCAATTTTCGCCTCAACATTTCGCGCGCATCTGAAGCCAACCCTCCCATCTTTGGATCTGTGGGTCTGCTCGAGACCGAAAGTCAAGCTGAGTATGAAAACTGCATAGAGGCGCGGTGTACCAGCTGGTAACTCACCTTGGAAGTCGAACACTGCTGAGCTGTATCTTTCTTTCTACAATTTTTTGCCCAGGGGCCGAAACTCTTATGCTCAGCTGCTCCCCACTCCACACTCTTGCAACCGTGCCTTCGAACTTCGTCTTACTGCTTGAACCCCCGGGAACATTGTCTTTGGAAGTAGCCGATCCGCTCCCGGCGACCGCAAGAGTTTTCCATAGACCTCGTTTGGTATCTCTACCTTCTTTTTCAGCCTTTCTCAAGCGCTCCATACCACCCCCAAGTTGTTCAGGTACCGATGACAAAAAGCCTGCATGCCAGTCCACAACTCGGGCCAATCCATTTGCTAACAACAAGGCTGCAATTGAGCCTGCTGGGTGTTGAACGATTCCAATTAAACTTCCAACTGTCACATTTTGTTGTACTTGGCTGGTCTGAGCGGCCAAATTAGTGGCTTGAGGGCTTGGCAAAGAAATAAGCACGACCGTAACCTTGCGTTGTAGAAGTCGTGTCTCGGTAAAGAACCTGGCTTCGTCACCGAAAGGCTCTCCATCAGGAATATTCTGGCCTTGCGCTGCAGAATCATTTGTTGCATTGGTATGTTGGCGTGAGCGAGGCGAACGAACGCCTGCCATGGTGAGGGTGATGAATTGATGTTGAGCGGGGCCCAAAAGAAGTCGAGCTCTGACCGTCGTACCGTTCGAGATGGACTCGATGATTGCTGGCATCCGTCATGAAACACACTTGATTTTAACTCTAACCAAACATTTGTATCGTCGAACCAAAAAGACTATCCATGCTACGCACCATCTAATGGTTTTCCTTTGTGCTCCGAAAGGAATCCTGCCGGGTCTTCTGGCATCGAATAGTTGATTTCCAACTGGTAGAATTCGGGTGCTTACATCAGATAAGCTCTTCAGATTGATCAATATTACAGCATAACATGCACTTACCGGTGTAGCATCTGCCCAAATTCCCAAGCCGTCTCGTTTTGCGTTTTCTTCGGCTAGTTTCAATAGATTCCTGCGTTCTTGCTCAGGACCATCACTGACATCGTCCGAATCATTATGTTTGAAAGATATGTTTTCCCTCAATTTTGACCAGCCGTTCTTGACGATCTCAAAAGGGACATCCAAGGGTGAAGTAGGGTTGTCCATCAGATGAATCACTCCAAATTCGGCTCCGGAAGGACTGGTGTAAGAGATAGAACTGTGAAAAGGCGTTGGTTATATTGAAGCGTAAATGATGTCATTTGAAGAAGTGATCTGAGATGATATCAAGATACGAGAACAAACAAGGCCACATCCTTTCCAACTATCAATTGCCTCACAAATTCCCTAGCTTCGAAAGCCCATGGCTCATCCGGACGATCTCGACTTCCGGTGCGTGGTGCACTCAATCTGGAACATCAAAATCCAACAATCAGTTTCATCCCATAGGTAGGGTCTAATTATATCGATTGTGAGTAGCTTACCCATATAGATGGAGTGTACGCTCTTTGGGAGGCTGACCATTGGCAGGGCGACCTCTTAAAATTACCGTATCCTGGAAATTATACATTCTATCTCTCAATATTTCGATATCACCAGCCAAATTCAAATCAAGATATTACCGCAGAAAGAACAGATTTGACAATGGCTGCAAGAGACTTTTGTCAGTAAAGAGTTGTTCATGTATAAGTATTCACAAGCCTACCTCGCATTTGAGTCGACATTTTACAGGGCTTGAGATTTGAAGAAGTGATAAAGGAATTCGGTTAATTTTAATATTTTAGTTTTCAAGAGATTTCAAGTTTGTTGGAGAGTAGATTGATCGAGATTTCAGATTCGATGATGTGACAAGTGTAGCGTGGAAGGAGTTGATCGGCACATATTTACACTGCACATGTAATCAAAAACACCAGTCCCACTCCCTACATACAAGCATCCCTAATATTTCACATGGAACTTGACGCTTTCTGTTTTGAAGGATTCAAGTCAGCAAACGCAAGATATGGTATTTATGATATGATGAGACAAATCCTACAAGGTGTAGGTCCTTATAAGGCTAATCAGAGGCAAAACATATACAATTCAGATGATTTTGTGATCAAGTCTGCAAGTTGCCTTTCATGACCTCATGCTGATTATTTTCTGATGACAGTGGTTTTCAACCACATGGACAAGTGAATCATGGCTCTTGCTAATTATCTGAAGCAAAGCTGGTCATACCGCTTTGAAGGTACTGATTTTGACACTACAAGCAATACATAGGCGGGCTTGCCCGCTAACCTGACCGTGCTCACACAACCCTCCCGCATCAACTTCTCAGTACTTGTCGCGGCGCAATATGTAAACATGCAATGTAGTCGGGGTTCTTATAAGGACCTGCACGTCATTGACAATGCATCTTGAAGTCAGTGTCTTGTTAGAATAAATAATAACAGGCAGCAGTCAAGCTTAGCTAAGCCCCTCTTTCAATGCGGCCTTATAACCCAACTTTGGCCTGAGATCAGCGTGAATTGCAAGCACTTTGGTTTAGAATCCCTTTTTGAGGGCTGTAAATGTTGTGAAACCTTGGAATAAATGCAGCAGAGCTTCTTTAAGCTCTTCTTCTTTCCATTTTAGTATGTTTAGCCAGTTACCACTCCTGGATTGTGCGGAAATGTGATTCCAATATCAACTAACTTTGACAGGTTCAGCTTGTGTGTAGGCCCACACAATGAGTAAGACCCAGATCTACAGTGAACTTTTAAACAAAGAAAACAAAGGGGTGAAGTGGAATATCTGGTTGGCTGAAAGGGTTATGGCACCAATCACAATTCATGGGAGCCGGAAAAAGTTTTAGGAAAAGCAAAGGAAATGATTACAATACAAGATACCCTCAAGCAGGAAAGCAATACAGAAGGACACAGGGAAGGAATTTAGGGTGAAAGCTCTTTTCCCACTGGGTTTTCAATGCTCACCTGTGGAAAGATATCTAATCCATCAAGAGGAGGTTGAGATATGAAGGGGAGTGGTTGTTATGAGCATATTACGCACTTACACATCTTACAAATGCTTATACCATAAATTCAGCGCTCTTATACTGACTAAGAGTTCAGCATTGATCTTCTTCATGTTGCAATCACATTATCAACACACATTATCAACACACATCATCCTTGCTCTTGTCCCAAGTCTGAGACCTTAACAATCATCACCAAGTTATGAGACAAGTACAACATAAATCTGGGAATGCTGTGGATCAAGGCAAATCATCAACATATTGTTGGCACAATGAATCACTATAGACTGAAAATTCAAGCAGTGCAGCCGTTGAAAGGACTTCATTAGGGGAGCCTGAGAGGCACAATATGATTCTCAATGAGGGGGTGGAGTTTTTCAACTCATTAAACCTCCTGCCATGTCAGTATGCCTCACATATAATTTCAGAGTACAAAGAACCATATAAGACCAGAGACACCATTTAGAAGGCATTACAGACCAAACAACCAAAATGAAAGACAACAATCAGCCAGCAGCTTTTGAAAACCAAGCTTTGTCAACACCAAAGGAAACCTCACACTATTAGCATAAAGTAATTTTCCTACAGAAAAAATGGTTACATTTAAAGCATTAGCCGTGTTCAAACTCAACCTGGTTGCATAAAAGCACCATACACCCAGTCAAACTTTTGGCTGGAAGCTATCAAGAGCTATCAATAGATACACAAAGTTGCCACCAAAAACACAACTGGGTGTACATACCGGGTTTTTGTGTCAACTGGGTAAACACATATATTATCTAATAATTGGAAATGCTGATTTAATGCATTTTCAATTGTTTGTTGCTCTAAACGCAATCATTTTCTCTGTGAAAGTTAATTTATGCTGGTGGTGTCAGAGGACCAAGTGCAATCGGAGCCAATGAGGCACACAAGGCAAATTGACAAGGGGTTAGAGGCTGCATTGGACCCAGTAAAGCCCCCAGCTTTGTTACCTTTTTGTAATTTAGCCTGGTTGAGGGTTTTCCTTAATTTAGTTCAAGGGTAAATAATCAACCCTTTGTTTGGTGTCTATCATGATATGTAAACAAAGGGTACATTGTTAGCTACAATGTTGTTAGTGAGTTCAGCCATTTCATAATCATAATGAAGATAAGTTTTTGTAATGCACTCTTGAAACTCAAGTGTAGGAGTGTGTTTCACTAATTTGTACTTATTTAGGGTACTCAAAGCAAGTATGTACGCATACATACTTTTTGCTACATACTTGTTTTTGGTGGGGAAAACAAGACCAAAAGTATATTTTTGTTTTTTCCCCGCCAAAAAAAAGTATGTAGCGCAGAATATCTACGCCTACATACTTGCTTTGAGTACCGTGATTATTTTATCTTTATTATAAGTGATGTAACATGTCAATACGTTTTAGAGGTTTTTACACTGTAAAAACCTAAAACCATTGACAGGGCACATCTGGGCTCCAGAAGCATTTGTGAATCTTTATGTTCAAAATAATCGACAGATCCTTCTCAAATCTGCCTTCACTTTGCATTGACTTCATCAACACCGCATCATCATAGTCATCAATCACCGGCCAATCTTCCCTTGCAACTCCATCACCCCTATTGATTATCTTCTGACAGCTCAAATTTTTATCAAATGACATACAAATGTATCTTCACCTTGATAAGGAGTTCCTTTTTAGACAAAGAATAGGAATTTTAATTGGATGGGACTTTAAAAGAGTTTAAAGGCATAATTGTGTACAAGTAGACGCAGAAAGTATATGTCACCCTGTAGTGATCTTTTGGCCCCAAGGATATGGTATCTTTTCTGTGTCTACTTGTACATAAGTGATCTAACAAATGATGGCACTGTGAGCTATGGTGAGAGCTACTGTGAGTGGTTTTGATGGTCATGAATTGTACTCAAACAACTACCCAACACATTCACACCAAGTCTTGAGATAAAACAAATTGTAATGTTTGATTATTAAGACCTCAATGAAAGATAATTATAAGGGGTACACAAACATCTCAACCTGACCTCAAAAAGACATCCAAAAAACCCGTGGCAACCCGATTGATTTTGAGTTTTTAGCGCTAAAAAATCAAACTTCAATTGAGTTACAATGGGTTTTATTAAGTCGGGTTGAGATGTTTGTGTACCACTATAGTTCCAGTGTCATGATTTCCTCAACATCCATGTTCTCATCAAAGCTACCATCAACTCAAATTGCAAATGATTAAATCCATCTTTTCATCAATTGAACAAGATCTCTGCTTTACAACACAAAAAGATAGTCATTGGCTCTTTTCCATTTTAAAAATTAAGTAAGCCATACTTAAATGCAATCATTGAGACTGATGTGAATAGGAACAGATAAAAAAATCACTATTGAAAGATGGGATAGGCAAGCTCGAGAAGTTAACTGTTGAACTCTGATTGGTTGTTAAGTTTTGATCAATTGCTTGATTTTGATTGATAGTTGGATTTTAATCAATTGTTCAGTTCCAATCAATTGTTTGATTTGATCAATTATCCAACTTAAATTCCCAAAGATGATTTTACATGGCTGTTCTTCTTAGTGATTTATTGAAAGAGATGTGATATGAATTAATAGCAAAATCGATTTTCAAATTAGCAACAAAGTAACCATGAATGAGATGAGTGAGAGAAAAACTGACACAAGCAGTTAGATAGATAGCTCCTCCAGAGATTGGTGAGAAGACCAAGTCAATTCCTTGAAGTGTTGTATGGTAATTGCAGTGCAATTTTGTTATCTGTACATAGAATGAACACATAGCCTGAGACCTGCTGGGCTAAGGGGTGTTTGTGGAAAGACACAAGTCAGGTAATGGCAGGCTGGGGAGGGATGGGTTCATCATGGGGCTCTCAAAGCTATCAAGAAAGGTCCGGAAGTGACATCCAGAACATTTTGGAGGTGTCCCAGAAGTTTCTGGATGTCACTTCTGGACACTTCTGGGGCACAAAACACAAGTTTTGAACACCTCTAACAGACCTTCAAACAATTACAAACGGGTATAACAAGACCAAATGGATATTTTCAAAAATTGTGTCAATCAATGAAACCAACACCAACAAAGATTGATGCAGCAAATACATCACGGAAATTGTTGGCTACATTGGCATCATGTTGTTGTGTAGTTGGGTTAGTATGTCAAGTACATCACGTAGAAGAGCAGTAAGGTACTTAGAAGGTGTGATGCAGGAATGAGGTGCTGATAATTCAAGACTAGGGCAGGAGAAGAAGACTCAAGTTGGAGTACGTGTAGTGTTTCAGGTGGCTTAGATAAACTGGTACCACAAATCCCAATGTAGCTTTTCTTCTTTTTCATCTCTGTTCATTCTTGTCCAAATTTGTATCTGTCTCAACTACTTATGTGTGTGTGTTTTATCATTTTCTCTTTGGGATGTGTTTTCAAAATTTTGTGTGACCTGAACTTTTCATTTATACCGGCTCTCTCTCGAGCTCCAGTTTCCCTCCTCATCACGTGGAAACTGAAGCTTGAGAGTAAGCATTTTTTTCCTCTTACTCAAATATCTGTGTGTGCTTTATTACCTGGACTGTACTCACCCTTTACAACAGCCCTTCCTACCACTGTTGTTTGTCCTGCTCTTTTGCAGGTAAGGCGTGATTTCCTCTGCCCTCTTTTCTACCTTTACAAGTTCATCCAGAACTTAACGTACCTGTTCTGTCCAGGTGATTATCTCTTTTTCTTTCTCTTATTTAGTTTTCTATTCTTCTATTTTCTTCACTACTATATGCGTGTGTTTGAAATTCATGATCACGTGGAAACTGAAGCTTGAGACCCTTCCTACCACTGTCGTTCGTCCTGCTCTTTTGCAGGTAAGGCATGATTTCCTCCACCCTCTTTTCTACCTTTATGAGTTCATCCAGAACTTAACGTACCTGTTCTGTCCAGGTAAGGCATGATTTCCTCCGCCCTCTTTTCTACCTTTACAAGTTCATCCAGAACTTAATGTACCTGTTCTGTCCAGGTACCTCCACTCAACAGTGTCAACAATCAATCCGCTTGAACTCATTACACATCAGATCAACTCAAAGGCATTCCAGAGAAACCAGCAGCTGAATTATTCCAAGTGAGTATCATGAATATCTTGCAATGTTTGAGAAATTACACTCAAATGTGCTACCACCTCATTGAGAGTATGAGTTTTGTGTTGACTTAATACCAGGAGCAACTCAAGCCTGCAAAGTGATGCCATTATCACCAAAAGTAGGGGAGGCGTTATATGAAATGTTAGAGAAAGGATTGAAAAATGGAACAATCAGACACACCGCTCCTCCGTGGGGTGCACCTGCATTATTCACTGGCAAAAAAGATTGAAACTTTTGCCCTTGCTTTGATTGTCGGAAGTTGAATGCAGTGACAATAAAAAAGAAGTATATATTTCCTTTCACAATGGAATTCATTGATGGTCTTTTGAATGCTGAGGATGTCATGCTAAAGAGACAAAGCGCTTTCATTTGCAAGGCTGTACAATTCTATTTTGTCCAACAGGTGCTCCAGGATTTTTCAGTATGTCATTCAAGATATTGCACAAACATACATAGGTAGGGATGTAGCAGTGTATCAGGATGATATTCTCTACCATAGTCTCATTTATACAGGACCAGGTGTAAGAGATATCAAAGAAACCAAATGTATGGCTCAAGCCAAAAAAATGCAAGTTTTCTAAGGCATAAATATTGTACCTAGGTTTAATCATTTCAAGAAAGCAAAGCCTACTTTTGGATTAAGAACTCAAGGAGGTGAGTGTACCTTTTGTCATCCCCTATCCCACTCCCAATGAAATCCTTACTCATATCCTCTTGTGCCCTTTGTAAGACACCAAACAAATTTAAATCATGAACTCATGCAATTACCCACACCCCAAAATGTTAATGGTTTGTCCTCTCATTATAGTCCAATCAGGTTTTCTTCTTTATGACATTCAACCTCAGGCTACAATGCCATACTTTTTCAAGCTACACTGTGTTGATATTTGAGATTAAGTAAGCCCCTCACAACACGTAGTTGAACCATTGCTTTGATCAGAGCCAAGATACCTCCACATGCAATTTACAAGAGCAAGCATACATAAACATTTGTCACCATTGTAGTCCCATATTGTTGCCATCTCTGTATAGCTACTTGATGCCCTCTCCTCAAAGATCCTTTCACTTGCTTAGCCCAGATTCTTCCTCACTATAAGAGAAGTACACACCCAAGTTATGTAGTGGGCGCGGCACAATTTTGACGCCCCGGGATGCACCTGGTGCGGGTGCACCCGGGCATGTCTTTTTTGGTCTGAATTGGAGTGGGCGCGCCCATGAACCTAAGCATGTGATCTACAAGGTTTTCTGCTGAAATCAGCCCTCTTCCACCTTCAAATCATTTCAAATGAATCAATGTGTGTTATGGGTACCACCCCGCATCATATTCTTCCAGTCATGGAAGCATTTACAGTCTGGATTGAAATTTACCCCAACAACAAAATTTTGGACTACATTGATAGCAACACATGTTCATTGACCTTTTTTTGATTTGGTTGATTTTTGTTGTACTATTGCTGTTGAATGTGTTTATAAGGTGTTCATATGAGTTTATCAATGTTTTCTGGGATGTAGAAGATGTGGCTGACAAAGCATCATCAAATACTTGTGAAGATGTAAAGTTATGTAATGACTAAGCTCAGAGGAGCAGTGTGGTGTTGCCAATAAAAGATAGAACCTGGGGTAATCAGGAAATGTGTAAGTCAAGGCAACAGGCCACAAAAGCTACATAGAGCTAATCAAAACATGACAAACCTGTGTGCAACAACATCAGTATACATAGTAGAGAAATAAAAAGAAGAAAGATTAAAAACATAAACCTGTGTGCAAGCAACAGGATCACAGTACGTTCAAGTGAGGTAAATGAGTAAAAAGCAGAAATACTACAAATATGTATATAAGAGACTTTAGTTGTTATAGTTGTTGATATGAGAGTGTATAGTGAAAGTACTTACAGATTCTTTTCGATAAGGAAAAGAATCTGGGTACAAACAACAACAACTATTCAAGTCAAAATGAGAACACAAGAGCAGCACAAATTAATCAATCACATTCGAAAGAAGACACTCAAGTCACACACGACTTATTCCCAAAACAGACACAATAATACCTCATTAGGTTCCTTCATAGTAATCTCCTTACTCACACATCCCAACTCGTACATATCTTTGTTAATTTAATTTCATTAATTTGAATAACTCCTTCTCTTGTCACGTAACTGCACACCGGAAGTCCTTGGCCAATAGGACAAAAAGACATCATTAGGTAATACCAAAAAGACAGCATTAGGTAATACCACAACAAAACTCTTTTTTTTTTCTTTTTTTGTCCTTTTTTTGCGCCTCCTGCGCCCTCTTGCGCCCCCAGCCAAAATGAGGGTGTGCCTGACCCCCTCCAGGCGTGCCCGGGCACTTACTTTTTCCCAAGCTTGCGCCCACCACATGACACCTGAGGTTCACAATACTTGTATAGGGAAAGCTGTGCTTAGATTTCCCTGCATGGTCCGGATCAGATCCATCACCTCTTTGTATCTCAGAATGTGGGATGTCTTTTAACATTGTGACAATGACTTGCATTCATCCACACAATGGCCTTGGGGGGTGTGATGATCCTACACCACATCTGTCAACAAGCACTTCTGCCAAACTTCTACGGTCCAAAACCTCACCGTAGGGGCTTTTGCAGGGAGCCTCTGTCATTTGCTTTTATCTCATTCCACACCAAGGATTTGGGTATGGTCCAAAGAGAAAAGATGGTACCTTACTCTGGCACATATTGTACAGATTTTCCACCGAGGAAACTGCTCCCCTCCATGAACAAAATTGCTTCAAAGCTTTGGCTTCAATAGCAATTGTACATGTAAATTACGCATGTAACTGCTGCAAATGGGGAGTGTCGGTGAAAATGGTCGATTTTGTTCATCTGTTATCTGCGTAATAAGAGCGCTTTCCTCGGTGAAAAAATGTACAATATGTGTCTTACTCTGGCGCATATCCTTCTCTTTGGACCATGCCTGAATACTCGGTGTGGAAAAAGATAAAGGGGATTGAAGGAAGCTCCCTGCAAAACCCTCTACCGCGAGGTTATGGACCGTACAAGTTTGGCGTAAGTCCCTCGCTCGCCTCAGCCGTGGGACTTTGTTAAGTTTACCAGAACACGTGTGTGTGAAGCGTGACTGATGCGGACGTGGGAAAGCTATCCAGAAAAACCCCAATCCGTCAGGCTCTGCGGCGCTCTCACTTCTGCTAAATTGGGATCTACCAGGATCTACCCTGTCGCTGTCAATGGTCATGGTCTTTTCAAATCGTTTTTAGTGTTCCTCAAACTCTACATCTTCTTTGCCGACAGACAGAATTGGCCAAGTCCGTTGAGGTCAGGCTGGATTAGGATTCGGATCGATTATTCGCCAGCCGCGTCCTGTTCGGCGCGGTGATCACTGATTAACCCAGGTTGAATTCCGTTGGGGTACATGTATTGGCAAGCTATCCGCAATAAACGCGTGGTCATCCACGTCTCTTTATAATTCGCTTTGAGTTTTACGCTTTGAACATGAGTCAAGCTCGTCTTGGACCGGAGTCACCACTCACTTCTATGATACCAGCAAATGATACACATTGGGGTGAAAATGCCCAATTGATCGTCAACAATCCACTACGGCGCGCGCGATTGATAACTGCCTCATTCATGAAGGTGCTAACCTTGTCCAACGAGAATCCTCCTGAATCCTCATCCTTGCTCGTCAGCGCATCGCCATCTCGTTAACTGTTGCCTCAATTATCTGTTGGGGAACAACGTTGATCTCTTCTGGGTCGCTTTGGTATGTACCTCATCTTATCTAGATACATCACAACGTAGAATACACCGGCAGCATGCTTGCCTGTCTTCATGTCTGTCCACATTACTTAATTAATTTACGTTTTTGTATCCAGTGACGTCCCCTGAGACGTTTTCCGTCCGTTTTGCTGGGCTGATAACGTCCCGGACTACCTCCTATTGTTACACTTCAAGCGCATCACCATCAATCTTCTTATCTGGCCTTTTCTCATATCCATATCTTTTGTGCGTTCCCACCAGCTTGGAGGCTCCTCATGACATTATCTCGCCCTTCCCAACCTGCTGCCTTGCGAGGCACTTCCAACGATCCAAATGGCTCCCTATCTATTGGAGTCCCACTTCAGCAATCTACTCACCTCAACGCTCCAACCGAACCGGGGTGTCCTCAGCTGTCCATTGGAGTCCGTTCAGTCCCCGTGCCTGCCACCAAAAAAAAAATCAACATGCGCAGGGTGGCGTCTTGGATTGAGGATGATAACGAGGAGGACGATGAAGAAACCCCTTGTAAAAAACGCGACGTTCGCACCTTGAACGAGAAACAAGCTCACTGGGACGTTCCGGAGACACCTGTGCGGACATACGACATTCACCCAGAAACTGATTTTCTTTACGGATCGGACGTTGAGAGTATTGACCTGGATGATTTACCCGCCTCGCCTCCTCCGCTACGTTACAAATCTTCCCAGTGTCCTCAACAACTGCCTTGTGTGGACAAGATAGAATCGAAAGTCAATCTAGAGTCTCGCTCAGATTCAGAAGACGGAGATCAAATCACCCCGTCGAACTCATTTTTTGTGTCACCCCAATCGTCGTGGATGAAACGTCGACCGAAGCGTTTGAATAAGCTTGGTCATTCGATCTCTTTGCCAGCCTTGCACACTAGACATAGCCAATCCATTTTGATCTCACCCACCGGCTCCCCAATATTTGAAGAAGAAGAGCCAGGTAATCTTGTGCCAGTGAGAAAACACAAATCACATTTCCCATCAATATTCTTTGCATTATGGATATACCCCATCATAAAGTTTTTCATGACAATTACAAGGCTGTCTCAAAGTGCATTACAAGGCCTCATCAATTTGGTAGACTTCCTTCAACGGGTGATTGATTCTATTCAGCTTTACTTGGAAGATTTGGATGCCACCATCGATAGCATCAGTCTTGCACTCGAAAACCTGGGACGATTAGTTCAAAGAGAAGAACAACGGTTAAAAAATCGCAGTCAGATATTCCAGGATAAGAAAGCTTGACATCCTACTCCCTATGCGCGAAATTCAGATTCATGAGAGCTTCATGATGATATCAAAATAGTTGGTGAGTCATTTCTGGATTCAACGTAGACTATGAAAACGGTGGCGGTCACACTGACATATAACTCTTTTGCTCTAGCTAGTTTGTATTTCCGGCAAGTCTTTCTTCCTCGTTGTTATCTTTCATTGCACTTTTCTTCGTATGTTCACAAGATCAAAGATTTGGTGGTTAATGCATCTTGAAAAAATAGCTCTAATGCTGGCACCAACCCTACTATCTTTGCTTCACTGCTCTTTTCACATTCAATTTTGAGCCAATATCAATACGCAATGTCATATGTATACAACATGTACCAGTTTAATTTCACATAAAACCTTAGTACCTGTTTCAAATCTAAAAAATTCTCGCAAGTAATTAGAAACATGTGCTTTTAACCCATCACCATTGATTTGTCGTTTCATGATCCCTACATGACTGCACTTGAAGTGCAGAGTCCTATAAAACCATGAATGGCCATTGATTCCAGTCAGACGGGCTCAGACTGTAGTTTTCAGAATGATCAATTAAGATTACTACATTCCTTGTGTGGAATACATCAATAACTCAAAATGTACACACCCAATTCAACACTTTTCCGTTCACCTTTCAAGTTGCTTGCAAGTCAGTTTCTCTTGTACAAAAACTGCGCCAATAATGAATGCCTTTGTCATGATTGGAGAAAATCTGAAAGGTGCTGTGAAAAATTCTGTTTTTTTGTGCTCTGTGTTGAAACTGAAAGTGAATGATCTCTGTATCACATGATGGCTCCTAATTTACCCAACGCGCTGCACATATGTAGTGTGGGTGCTATGGCTCAGGTGTGTAGTGATCAATGCTTTACAACCAATTATAATTCCAATCAATTTCCCGTGCTCAATTGAAGGGAAGTTGTTTGATGTTTGCAGTTATGGGTTCTACTGCATGCCTTGCCTTGGGCTTGAATAGAAACACCCCCCTCGGAGCAGCCTTTTGCTTCATTTGCCAATGTTTCTGCATCACTTTGTTCTGCAAATTGGCACAAAAAGCTTCTGCTTGACATGTTAACAAATGTTGTTGAAGATTTACATGTAAGTCTATTTCTTTTACTATACTTGAATATCAAGATTGGGTATGACCGGCTTTTTCTTTGTAAGGGAATCCTGGGTAAATTAGGTCTCATCCACAAAGTCTGGACAACCAAAGTAAAACAACTTGTGTTCATTGGCGTCTTGGTGAAATACATTCATTCTGATTGGAAGTTTTGCTGCCATTGTCAACAACTGAAATTCAAACTGGCTGTGTGGCATCACTACATGGAGCCCTCCTGACTTGAGCAGTTGCCTGTTTTCTCATCAAACACGGGCTACATAACAAGATTGGTATTGTCAAATTAGTTTATTCTTTTTATTCTTTTAATCATTTTTTATTGTTGTTTATTTTTAATTTCTTTATATAAATGTTGGCACAGACCACTGATTCAGGTGCAAACAACTTTACTGGGAGTGGATGTACCTTCCATGATGCTACATCATTGAGAGTCCCCACCCAATATTGAGCCCAATTTTGAAAACTCAGACTGTGAAGGCCATGTGCATTATCAAGAAGATACTGACACCAAAGATTGTGACTCTGAAGCCAATGAACCACCTGACCTCAATTGGGATCAATAACAACCTTCAATGCATGACTCTGTGGCCCCATCAGGAGGTTGGAAGCCTGATGATGTTTGGTCAGCAGGTAATGAAGTGTTTTTTTTCCAACAAAAAATGTTACTGATGATGGTTTTGTTTTTGTTATAGGTTGAAAAAGAATTCCAATTGATTGCTTCTGGCAGATCTTGATGTGACTAATTCAAACTCATTATGAGTGCACATAATTAAGGGATCATCACCAGTAGCTGTCATTAGTGAAATGGTAAGCACAAGGTGTGCAAATGTGCATGTGATGCTCATAAATTAAGCTTTCATTCTATATATATACTAATTTTATACATTTGAAAAACTCCTTGACACCAGGCCATCAACCAGATGATTGCCAAGGATTCCAAAGAACTCTACTATGGCAACCTTCATATAACTTCCAACAATTGGGCTTTGGTCAAGGCTTTAAACAATGTTACTGTGGTAAGTTAATACAATTCTACACAGTTATTCATACAATACTCTCTATCTGACTCAAAGCTCCTTGATTGTATAAGAGTTTTTGACAGGGGAATCTGTGTGTTGGAGGTGATACACCAACTGCTGGAATTCTCCTCCTGGAGTATCAGCTGATCAAGGAGTCTATTTTGGCCAAAGCAACAATCTTACCTTACAAGAGCTTTCAAGATATGATTGGTGTGATGATCAAGAAGCTCAATGGTTACCAAAAAGAAGTAGTCAAGTCCAGTGTGGTTGTTTTTACAACTATGCTGAACCCTTCTTTACATCTGGGCTTTTTCACTACATAATTTCCAGACAAAGTTAAGTGTGTGAAGCAATTAAGTAAAAATGTATTCAAAGGTGTTAACTTTGAATCCCACAAACCACAGCACAAGGCTCCAATTCAGCTGAACATCTCATCTGATCTACTCACCCTTACAATGCTTTCAAGTTCAATCCAAAACTAGCAGTGCAACAGAATACAGACAATACCAAAATTCAACAATATCTGGATTGGGATCTCAATGGGCCCAGAAAGAATCAATTCATGTTAGAGTGGTGGAAGGTAAGTTGCTGATTCACATATTCTAATGTGGAATCACACTCACCATTTCATATCTTTAGAGATACTGCAAGATCTATCCAGTTGTTGGCATGATGGCTCAAGATTATTCGAGGTGTCTGGGTTACTTCATGCATAATAGAGTACACTTTCTCTGCTGCAGAAGGTATATACACTACTAAATGTGGCGGCCTTGGACCCAAGAAAATGGAGCAGGCTGTTGGCTGCCAGCTATGGTTGATATTGGGTGTGAAAATTGAGTGTGAAACCCAAAGGCGCATTTGAGGAGGCCTTTCACTCATTGCTCAGGATTTTGCTGGTAAGACTAAGGAGAATTCCAAGCATCAACACCATTGTACATTTCTATTTTGGATCTTTACTTTTCTGTTATTGCTTTCTCTGTTTCTACTTTTTCTTTTTTCAACTGTTGTAGCAATACATGCAATAAATTCCAATATATCAGAGTCACAGGATCTGTAGTGCTCTATAGCGCTCCCATAGTGCTCCTGGCGCTATATTGCAGTGCCTGGTAGTGATAAGGCACTCCATTATTCCTGGGCCAATAAAATTGAAATAGATAGTGTAGTATAGACTTAGTGCTTGAGAATATAGTGGGACTGCACTACACTACCAAAAAATGAGAATATAGCCAATTGTAGCATAGTGGTTTGGTGTAGATGAGATCAATGAAATAAGTGGGGAACAAGACATGGTCTTGTGATGCCTGTCATCAGACATTTTTTGACTGAATGAGAGTATGAGATTATCATGAAAGAAGACAGATGATCTGACATACCTGAAGAGCTTTCTCTGAACTCAATGGATTGGTTGAAAAGTCAGAGTGCGATGACTGTCCACCAATTTTGGCTAAACGGCCAAGGTAATAGTGCATACAAATAAATATCAGATAAATGACTTGTAATGTTTATACACATCAGCTTTTGATCACAATATTAGTTGGAGGGGTGGCACAGAAACTGGACAACATAGTTCCTCTTGTTGATGTTGATTGAGCGTCAATACCAGATAGAATAAAAGACTTGATTTCAAAAGCAATAACCTGGTCCATACAGCCTGTACATACATCACTTGTGTCACCAATGATTAGGCATGACACTACCTGCAAAAGGCAGGTGGTGGGGTTACTAAGGGGGGATTGGCCATTCAAACTTTCACTCGACTAGTAACAGGTATTCATTATAAATTGGTGTGCCAGATCCTTGACCAGTTTTTCCAAAAAGAAAATCTGAGACAAGTTGATAATGTATAGGTTTATGCAACATGACCAGCCTCTTGAAGGACATTTTTCTTCATATACCCAAAATTTCCAGGTCATTTGTGCATTTCAATCACCAACATCCAGTGTTTTTCTTGGAACCCCTATGCGTTATTATATCACAGCTGTTTCAAGAAAGATTGACAACTTTTTTTTTGGAGAAAGCCGTCTCTGCAGCAGGTAAAATCAGACAAACAACTTGTTTACAGGTTTAATTTTTTCTGTATTCTTCCAATTAGCAGACAGACAAAACCAAGTGAGAGGTGTTACATACCAACAAGATTTTTGAAAAAACAAACAATCTATGTTGAAACAGCTGTATGCAATAATTCAAAATTTGGCGCGCACCAGCCTGATGGAACCCCACTATGCAAAATGGCTGATTATGAATCTGTGCGGGTATGCATTTGCACAGAGTTGACTGTATAATTCAAACAAGGGGGGTTTGTTATGACTTTTAGGGGGTGAAGGTGAGCAAAGACATTTATTTTGAAATATCAGGCCATGCTTTCTTTTTGTCTACATCATATCACACTCAAAACTTGTCACAAATCAAACCTCTTACCACCTTCCATTATAATCTGAGCACAAACCTCTGTTACAAATTTTGAGGTAGTAGCTTACGATGATTTTCCAGTCACTTGCAGTTGAATTCTGAATTTGGTGTTTTGGGAAATGTTATGCTCATTGTCTAAGGCTAGGGAAGGTGAAAGTCTACGGAAAGCCTCAAAAGTTCAAAACAAAACTTATTCAATTGGTGTTTCCATTGCCTGCCTGTCTCCAAGGGGACATCTACATTCACTACAATAGAAAGATATGCTCAAAGAAGCATGGCCATGGCTCTAATTTGAAGGAAGTTTGAAGCTGACATTGGACCTGGAGGCTGTCAAGGGACAGACAGTCAAGTCAGGGTGGAATTGACCGCCTCAAATTCCCCTGCTGGATTGAGGGCAAATGACAAGATGATACATCACAATATATCTGAGGTTGATCCAACGTGTATAATTCGTCATATTCAAGGCCAAACAGGCAACATACTCTGAGCGAAGGTGATTACACTTGACCAATTCGACAAATAGGCTCAAAGCATCCTTCAAAATTCTCGGCAGTTTATTCAATAGCGTTTTCTCGTTTTTGGCAGGACATCAAGGCGTACACATACACGGAGTATCATTTCCCTCACTTCCAAAGACACGTTAACAAGCAGCAGCTTTTTTGCAGCGTGGAAACATCAAGTTCAAGAAGCACAATAAAAACAAGTCGCACAAATGAAGATGCGCTTGTTGTGATGTACCTTGGCTGTTTTGTTTAGTTCCAGTTCCCAGCCACTGGTTCTGGGCGGTAATTAGATTGAGAAGGGTTTGGAGGTCCTCGGTTCTGAAATCCTCCACCTCCACCGCCTCTTGGCCCACCTCGACCTCCTTAAAAATGGTAGCAAGAGGAGAATAGTAGAACAGTCAGTCAGTTTGACTCAACAGGATGATAGGTCGGAGTCAACGTACGATATCCGTTGTTAGGAAAATCTCCTTCTGGTCGGGGTCGGTAGTTACCCGGACCGTCAGGACCAGCTCGCCATGTTCCACCTCCACTTCCGCCACCGCCACCACGGTATCCACCAGGCCCACCCCTATGAGGCGGACCCCCTCGATAGCCTGAACCTCGACCACCCCGATAACCGTCGTGGTGAGGTCCTCCTCGTGAGCCACCGCGATATCCACCGCGTCCACCATTGCCTCTGAAACCCCGACTGGGAAAAGTTGGCGGAGCTGGTGTTACATCAGGCGCTGGCACCTGAGTATCTGCATCAACGACCACATCCTCCGCCCAATCAATCGTACGAGCCACAACCTCAGCCTGATCGCTGCTCAACATTTCCGTGGGCTTGGACCAATCCGAGGATTGAGGGGCTTCTTCTTTCGAAGGGTTGGCGTTCCAGTTCTCAGCATGATTTGGCTCTGCACTGACGATCTGAGCTGTTTCTAGGAGCGCCTTGTTTCTTGCCACGTGGTCGATTGAAAGGTTGGGAGAGGATGTAAGGGAGTGGGATGGAGGATCGACGGGTAAATGGGCTGGATCTGGACTGGCTGCTACGCTAGGTTCTTCAGCAACTTCGGAATGTTGAAGGAACATCAAATTGTTCTTTTCGGTGGAGCTTGGATTCGAAATGTCAGCAGCTGGAGGTGCCGTGAGTTGAGTGATCATTTCTTTGATTCGTGCGACTGTGAAGTTTGAAAATGCAGACATGGCATAGAGTCAGTAAACGAGTCAAGGTGTGGCAAACACATGAGACTGACATGGAACTCCTGGAATCACTTCGACCTCTGCACCGCTGGCAAGACTTTGGATGCTTTGGAACGCATCTCCGCCACCTCCAGCAATAGCTAAGGATTTTGAAAACAATGAGCTATGGGACTGGTCGATGTATCCAAAAAACTAGACTATCGAAAAACTTACGTCCGTTGGCCAATTGGTGAAAGAGCGCATTGATGGCAGCAACTTCCTGACCCGTGGCGGTCTCGAGGACCGGTGCCATGATAACAGGAGCAAACGATTCACCAGCTTGATTGGCAGCGTTGAAGAGTGAGTAGAGGTGTAGGAATTGGAGCAAGAATGTCAAGTTAGACTCGGCATTTTTCTGATTATCTCACACGAATTTTGTAGAGTCAGTATGGTTTGTAGGTGTACTGATATGCAGCGTGATAGCTAAGAAAAAAATGTTGTCTCAGAGAACTCACTTGCTCAGCAGCTATAGCGGCATCAACCCGTCCCTTGACTTTCCTCTCCTCTTCTTCTCTTACGGCATTGATTCTCTGTTCGTCTAGCAATTCATCCTCCTGAAGATACGCGTATATTTAGGGCTCTTGCATCCCAAGCTTGGAGAATGAAGTGAAACAAACCTCTAGGATCTTGAGTAGGTCTTGTAATTCTTTCACGGTAGCTTCCAAAGCTGGCTTCGAAGCAATTGCTCGTTTTTGATCCTCGTTCAAGGGTGTTGAACTAGTCTCGTAGCCAGCAATTCGTTGCTATCATTTTGAGTCAGATCAGTCAGATCTTCCGATCGAGGTGCTTTAGTATAGTTAACAAGATCACGATACCATTTTTTTGGTGGCAGCCCGGATCCGTTTCTGAACTTGCTGAACAGGCGAGACAATCTGGGATGGGATGGGGGTAGCGGTAGAGTGGGAATTCAACGTGAGGGAGGGAGGTTCAAGGGTGATGCCAAGCCCTCCAACCATGACAGGAGCTGAAGGTGCGCTCGCGTTTTCAGCATTTTCGGTAGCAGGGGTGATAGTAGAGGGTTGCTCGGATTTGGTTTGTCCCGAAGTGGAGGCTGTCTTTTTCTTACGGGATCGCTTGGAGGCTGAGGTGGCACTCGGTGGAGCTGAAGTGAGGCCAGGGATGACACGACTAGCTTTCAATGTAGAAGTCGGTGGTTGGTTGTCCACCTGAGAAGTTGTCTGAGATGTGGGGCCAGGCATGTGAGTGTCTAGAGATGATGCTGAGAGTGAAGCTGTGATGATAAAGGGAAGTAGGAAAGACAATTTTTTATCAGCTAAGAATCGAAATCGTTGGGAAGAAGATGAGAAAGAGAAAGAAGAGATGATACAGACCAAGTTGAAGCGAATTGAAGAAGATGGAAGTCTATGTTTCCTGTTGTTGTTGATGATATGGTTCGATCGAATCCTTTTGGTGGTTTGTTGATGACAATCTTCAAACCTCGATCATCTTACAATCTGCTTATTAGCATATGTACCAAAATGCTACTACAGGGTCATCCTGGTATCACGTGAGTTTGACAAGTCATCTCATCTTCACTTTCACTCACAATTCCCCATCTCAAAGCAAGCATCCATTGACGCAAACTGTGGAGACTAATCAAATGGCGGGCAACACCAGTTGAAAACCAAGGGAGTGAGCTCCCTACATAGGACCGCGCATCTCGCGTTTCAGGTGACAAAATCCAGCAAAATCTTTGTCAAATGTATGTGGCAGCATCAATTGATACACACCTGTGAAATAACACAAATGGGTCTTGTTTCAACACAAACAGGATCAGAGTATGTTTTCTGGACAGCTCATTCAGAGAACTTCTGTGTAACAGATCAAGAGCAAAGCCTGTGTTGAGATTCCTGATTCCATGCTGGGAAGAACCATGTACAAGTTGTTGTTGACCATTGTTGGACATTGGGAAAAAATGATGAACTTTTACTGCCTTGAAGAAGATTAAACTTCAAGATTTGCCACTGAACACCAAACAATACAGTCTTTGCTGTGTTAGATCTGGCTCAAAACTGAACCTTTTTTTTTCTCCATTTTTTCTCAACATTAACATATAGAATGGTTGTATCAACTTTGTGGCAGATGCAAGGCCCAATCAATGAAACAACAGCAGTAGATATTTGGTTCCAGGTGGGTAGCATGAGTAGCATAGATTGAACACCTGATTGAGAGTGCACATCAAGACATCTTGTGTGGAACAATAATGTCCAAAGCCATTGTATTCCAAGATATTTCTTTCATTGTGGATTGCTATCAGTTCCACGGACCACAAGTTATCAAAATCAAACAAGGTCATTTAAATCTTGACTCATTGAAAAACAACCTAGTGACCCAAGCTGAGAAATCCACTCAGGAAGAATGCTAGAACACCTCATCCAGTTAACCAGCTTGACTGACACTGTGTCTATTCCCCAGCCATATTGGTAGAATATAAAACCTGACAAAGCTTTCTCATTGATACAGATCTCATTAATTTTGTTCAATCCACAATTATCAACTTCCAACTTTATTACCTTCAACCATATCAGGTCTTGGCAGATGAAAGATCCATTGAAGAGAGCCCCTAACAAAGCAAGCCAGCAATTTTTTGGGTCACTATATTGGGGTCCAATCACCTTGACAGCCATCTCAAAGTATATACAAGGAATCATAGCTTTGTTCTTGATATGATTTGCTTTGTAAGAGTTTTGAGGGCACTGGCTTTGGGATTCTATGGTTTCTGTTATTGGATTCATTAGTTTTTACAATTCTTACATTGTTATGATTTGTATTTCATACCATGGGGAATGAGATTGTATGAGCTGGCTGCTGAGGTAGAGCTGTCATAAATGGAAAAATAGTCATTGTTTGCACATGGCAGGATGTGACTACACCACATCCCTCATCTTTCTTATGTACCCTGAGATTAACTAAGCGCCTCACAAGGGTGTTTGCTGAACATTTGGAAAAGAGGCGCTTACAGCGGACTCATCTTTTTGGAGGAGGACTTCCAAGAATTGAGTACCCTTATGTGATTTTTTGACTACACCTGTCCACAAAAAGTTCCATAATTCAAGTGTGTTGTTCTTTGACGCTTCCTACATTGTGATTTGCTACCCTACATGTTGGTTCAAATGGAAATGAGCTCTGATTTCAAAATGTAACATTGGTATTTCTATACTCCTAGATTCATTGGAGGCAAATGTATACAGAGGGCTTAGGCTGTCTGAGGCCATTACAACATGGCATAAGGCCTGTTTTCTACACAGCTCAGCTGGTCAGAGTAACCTGGTGGCATCAAAAGTGGTGCCAAAATATGTAGAACCATTTGGAGAACAACATTCCAGAATTCTGATTTTTTTTGTGGAGAGGAGTAAAAGGGAAGTCAAAAATAAGGGTACTTCATTCTTCAAAGTCCTTCACCAAAAAAACCAAGTCTGCTGTCAGCCCCTGGCAAATGTGCTTGTGATTTATATTTACCTTCTTTGCCTCCACAGAGTCAATGGTGGCTGAAGTGCAAGTGGCTAAAAAATATGCATTCAGCCATGAAACAAAGGGTGTACCTTGCACACCCTTCTTGAACCTGGCTTTGTGTCAGAATTTGCATTTCCTCTACATGGGTGCAATCTGTTCTAAACTCATGTTGCATCATATGAAAAGAACTCATGATGGGAAGCCAAAATGACTCTGGTTCAAAGCTTGACACATATAGCTGGTTTTCAAGATGTCAAGTTGAACTCAGATATTTAATATCAGCTGGGCAAAGCTTTTATCAAGAGTTTGGGATAGATTATCCCAATCATTTCTTGGACCCTCAATGATTATGAATGTGATTTTCAAAGACTCCTTTTATAGAAAGACCTTTTTAAAATTAGTATTCTGATTACATACTTTGATATGTCTGGAATATTGATATATGTGACAAATTCAATGGTAGCTGTTAAAGGAATAGCTTTATGCCATGATCAGATGTTGAATAAAATAAATTGAAGAGATTTCCATATGTGCATTCTTAGACTCCCATCTTGAAATGAAGGGTTTACAAATATCCAAAGCTCAAAGTACTAGTTTCATACACAAGGAGTTTGAATCACTTGTGGTGAAGGGCTCTTATCCTCACCAAGACCTTGATCCTATTTTGTTTGAAATTCCATGAGATAAAAGGTCACACCGTACCAATGGATCTTTGTCAGTCGTTATCACCGTGTTCTTTCTGGGTACTTATGCGTTGTTGGTTCTCGTTGCTCATTCCACTTTCCACCATCATCAATTGGTGTTTGTTGCTTTTACAGCGGTGGAGGTGCGCCTCCCGCCAAAATAGCGTGCGCATCTCAGCGGAAAGTCCGCATGGGCTTGCTTAGGCTTGCTTCATTCCGAAAAGCCCGCACCTGCCTACCAGTTGTGACTGTTGTGTTGGGAAGGGTTGAACCACGCTGTCAATCTTCTTTAAAGGTAGATGAACGTCTTTCTAACGACTATTTCTTGTCAAATCTACGATCTGTCTCATGTGCTGCCTTGTTTTCTTGAAAACCCATTGGGGATATGTATCTAAGTTGCTTCATGGGCTTGACTTTGAGATGTGATTGTGAGTTTGGTAAAAAAATAAATGGAGAATCAGAGTATGAGGATAATTTTCTAGTTTGGGACATGTGAGTAAGTTGATATTCAGAGTTAATGAGTCTAGAGCCAAAGTTCTATAAATGATAGATATGGTAATTCTTGAAATCCTAATGAAAGGAATTGCCATTCGACAAATGTTGAATTTGTGAAAGTTTCAACGGATAACGCGATGTTGATGTTATAAATTTGATTTTAACTTTTAAATTTGAATACAACCACACCATTCACCTCAGCATTCTCTCAACAATTCTCAATCTGCTCAGCATTCTCAAGAAACATTCTATGATCAATCATTATTCATCATCAACAACACATAGAAGATACTGACCAAACAGAATATCATATCATGAATATCTCAAAAGAATCAAACTCACTCCCTTCATCATCTTCAACATCATCGTTATCTTCAACATCATCATCAACTACACCTATGAACATCATCACTTCAACTTCAACCAATCTCAATCATCATCCTAATCGAAGCTCTAACTACCAATCACCTTCTTCTAGACAAATCACAACAAAAGCACTTCGTCATCTCATCATCATCATCTGTCCACTTCTCTTACTCACCAGTCTCTTCATCATAGCAATTCATCATGACATCATCCCTTCTTTACCTTCAATCCCACCACTTTCATCTTCAGATTTACGATTACCTGCTACCACTGCACGTCGATATTCATCTCAGTTCTTATCTTGGCTAGACACCGTACCAAGCTCAATCAACCTTCTTCTTCCGCTTCCTAACTTTTTACATTCTTCTTCAAAGTCAGTTGATCAACAACCACAATCACCACATCCGATCTTAGCACTCTTACTCTCAGCTCGGCTTTCTTGGAAAGCTATTCTACAATCTCAACCAACCACTCTTGAAGCTGCAAGAGCTTCTTACATTCGACGATATCATCCTCTTCAACCTCCACCAGGATTTGATGAATGGTATCACTTTGCGCGTAATAGGAACTTTACACTCATTGATCGATTTGATAGTCTGATGTCTGATCTCGAACCATTTCGTGCGGTTCCTCCTTCTGAACTTCGACGTCGTACACAAGAACTCGCTAATCTACCTGGTGTATCCTTGATTCAAATCAATGCAAAGGGTGAAGTTGAAATTAAATCTCAAACTGGAAGATTGACTCCTGGAAAAGCTATGAAGGACATGTTATCAAAAATCATCTCAGAGGGTCATTGGTCTTTTCCTCAACTTGATTTTGCAATCAATGAAAAATCTCAGGCTAGAGTTCTACCCAAAGTCACAAGACCAGTAACCGGGCAGGAATTTCATTTCTTGCCTCGAAATCCCTCCGGTATGTCTTTCCCATCTTTATCATAGCATTAGCACTTCCTTACCATCAATTCCTTTCTTAGGCATGTTCGACCCGGAGGAAAAGCCTTCGTTGACTGATTTCAAACCCGAATGGGGAAATGAAGGCAATGTGTGGGATGCCTATCGCCGAGCATGTCCTCCGGATTCTGCGGCGCGTCGTCTGGTCGAGACTGTACGCTCAACTGAGTCTCAGACAGGGGCTGTAGCTGCCGGTGGCGGATCAGTGGTCACTAGTCAGAAACCATTTTCCCTGCAATCTACGCGACGTCGTCAAATTCAACCCCCAGGCACAGCACCCATTCCACCTCGAAGAGAGCTGACCTTTTTGGAAGATCTGGAATCCGGCGACTCCTTCTGTGACCGCCCATCTACTCATCATCTTCATTCGGCCTTCTTCACCGATCTACGCTCAATTGAACATCTCTATCCACTCTTCTCGGCTGCCAAACCGGCTGGCTTCGCAGACATCCTCATTCCATCTCATTACCATTACAATCCCACATCTGAGTTTGTTTATGAAGACTCACCAGGTCAATCTCAATCTCCTACTGATATTGAATGGTCTCAAAAAGCTTCGAAACTTTACTGGCACGGAAAGTTAACTCGAGGGGCCAACACCCCACCTGGACACATGAGTAGTTTTCAAAAACAGCGACTTGTGAAACTTGTTTCCAACGACACTTCGTCTCCGAGCTCCCAGGAAGCACATCATAAAGGAGAAGCGGACCCATCTCAACGAGGAAACCTCAACCGTATCCTTGTTACTCTCAATACTAGCTCCTCTGGTCTTGAGTCTGTTTCTATCCCAGCTACAGTTGTGGATCCTTTGTTACTTGACATTGCAATTGCCTGTGATCCACACGCGGGAGAGTGCACAAATCTGAATTCTCAAGGATATCATACTGAGGACCCAAGACCATTGAGTGAGAGTTGGCGCTCGAAACTCGCCCTCGATTTGGATCAAGTAGGCTTAAGCCCTCGATTTGGAGCGCTTATGAACTCTAAAAGTGCCGTGGTGAAGATGAGCGTACAACAAGAGTTTTGGCGTGATTGGGTTCAAAGCTGGTGAGTCCCTTTGCCCGTCATTTGCTGCAAGCTCCTGGGGGACGGCAAGAAAAAGGATGCTGATAGTCTGTTACGTCATAGGTTACATTTCATACCACTGTCTTCCTCGTTTTCCGAACTTCATAATCTACTCACTTTTTTCCTTGGGTTACCCTCCTCAATCCGATCTTTGGCCCTGCCAATCCATCAAACCCGAGACAGGCAGGCATCCGGGGACACAAATCCGGTCGAGGGCTTTGTGGCTGACGAGGAGTTGAGAAAGATAGGGCAAGCCGGTCAAGATTGGAAACGAAGACACATGAGGAAAGAGGACATGGAAGTCAGTGTAACCCTTGAACCACTTTGAACCCTACGAGTGGTTTCATCGATGACTGACGATTTCTTGTTTTGTTTTGTAGGTTTATATGTTCCGACTTATGATTGAATGGGCCAGGATTGTGTCAAATGAAGAAATCCAGAAGAAAACAAATTCTAATGAGACCGTCTCATCAAACCTACCATGATTGTTGGCTTCTTCTGAACCAAAATAACAAGCTCTTGATATCAATTTTCGAAAGCTGGATATGAACATTGTATTCAAACGGACACCTGTGGTAAAATCATCATTTTGCATCTTCTTTTTATTATCTGTCATTATTGAATTTATACAACTTTAAACTGAATTTGAATGATCAGTTGGCTGGGTGTACATTTGGGATAAGTAATCATGTTCGAAAGCCTTTTTTTTTCGGTTGCTTGGTTTCGTTTTTTTTATTTATGCATTTCTTATAGCGCCTCTAATTTGTTCTATATTGAAGTGGTTCCGGGTTTTTCTCTATGATATTCTTCCTGAAGTGTTCTTTGCTTGTTTTTGATGAAATTTTGGCCTTCGACTCAGAGTTCAATGTTTGATATTTGTTTTTCTATTTTATCTCCTATGGATCTATGTATGATCAGTGTGATCCCGTCAATCTTTTGTATGAAGGGACTTTTTCTATCTAAAGTTACATCCTTATCATAATATTCTCTGGAGTAAGTGGACTTTTTCCAATGGATTTGATGCCTCGGGCAACTACATTCAAATAAATTGATATGCACATCACATTGAAACACATCAGCTGAATGTCAATCATCCTGTGTGTTTGTACAAGCTGAGTGTACCTTTGTAATTATGTGGGACCACTTCTGAGAACCCTCTGTTTGTGCGCAAAGGAGAAGATCCTTATGAGATTTGATTTTAACCTCCCTATTCACTGAGGATAGAAAGATCCAGAAATACAAAAACCTCCAAATCTAGAATTATACAAGGATCACCAAGAGGGGTGGATTCCAATTTGCAAGAATGCATTCCAAGGTTATGGCAATGTAGTCTGAGACCCAGAAAAACACGGTCCAGGGTGAGACCACGTTAGTGCTCTTTCAAGTTCCCATCATCTCCACATAGTTTGCTTGGTCAAAGGCAGTGAAGAATCACCAGATCAAGATGGAGGCTTTTGACCAACATGTTAGACTCCAGCAGATCATCACTCAGTATTCACCGGGAATTTGAGTCATAGAAATAAGAATCATGGCCTATGCTGGACAGATACATTGAGACCTGATTACATAGTCCGAAGTGATCATCATGGGTACATCAATATTTGCATCGAAATAAAAAAAGTTCTTTGTATGATTTTTTACAGTCAGTGAGGACGTCAAAACCGCAGATTTGTTGGTGAAAGACGATGTGAAATCCAGTCAAAGTTTTATTACTCATCCCTATACATGAAAGTCCGTTATGCTTGGTTCCAGTATCAAGCAAATTTGTGGATCCGAAGATTGAAAAACTTGGCGGGCTCATCTCTTCAGCGCCGCGTACGAGCACAAAGACGAGCAAGTCGAAAGACTGTCTCTCCGAACTATATTTCTCACGCTTCGTATCAGTATATTGGAAACCAAACAAGAGTGCAATGAATGACCGACCATATAATATAAGAAACCACAGAACCTTATCGCTGACAATCCAAAGGTAGACCACAGAAGACCCTGAAAATAATAACTGTTTTGCCAAAGTAATTAAGGACGTGATCCGGACAGATAAAAGTGCGATGAAACGTACGTTCGAGTTGCGGATGTCAACCTGCTAATAGCAATCGCCAATATCGCATTGGTCAGGAGCCATATCGTAATGAATCTGGTTCTGAAAGTCTTGTTCTGGTCGTCAGAATTAGGTTTTTCGGCTTCTGAATTGTCTTTAAAAGGCTGCACAGCTCGTAAGACGGTTTGTTGAAATTGGGCATCCAGGTCCTCTTGATTCTATTTGAAAGGCAGGTTTTGTCAGCGGCGAAAAGATACGTCCTTGACGTGACTCGACAAAGATCTTACTCGGCGGATATCTTCAACGACCTTGGCGCCACCTTCTTTGGCACTTTGTTTACTCGAAACCGCGGGCAGTGCATCGACTTTGTCCGAACCTTTGGTCCCCCCTAAAATTTGAAAGAAAGATGTCAGTTATCTTTGTATAGGCTGGCAATCCGCTTCATGAACAGGTGGACCAACATGAAACATCGTGCAAGTTGCAAAAAGCGTATATCTGCATGCACCAGTAATTTGTCAGCAAATGTGTAGAACATGAGACAAGGAAAACAATTACATTCAAAATATTAGTAAAAGACACAGCCACCAAAAGGTAAGGAATCATCGAGTGGAAAATGTGCCACGGACTGTCGTTGCGTAGCATTTAGTATCCAACGTAATGTGCAATAAGAAGCTCCACTCAATGGCTTACTCCATGTACATAAAGGAAGACTACAATCACCTCATGATTAGTTATAGATTGATAATGAATATATGTAAAACTTGTCTTACCACAATGTATATTCCAAACGTGCCAGCAAGACCAGCGAAGATAGGACCTGGATATTGAAGATGCATGTGGGTCTCACACTGGAATATGACCAAAACATGGGGTTAAGGAGACACGATTATACTGACCATATGTTGATCCCATGAAAACCCCAACAGTACTTCCTCCTTTAATATGGATTTCGGCTACTTGCATCGACATCGGACAAAACGCTTGGATTGTGAGAACCTGACCACACGAGAAGATTAGCACAAGCCGGTCTACATATCCGCTATGAAACGTACTCACCAAGGTCATACCAAGCAAGTAAAGCGCAAACAAGCCAAAACTGGAAAACTACTATCAGAAAGGCTACAACACAGACTTATCACGGGACTTACATGACAAAGCATATTATGTAGGTCGGCTGCTCTCCTTTGGGTCTGTTACCAAGTGCCAATATGACCTGTAGGGCAATCAAAGCGAGCTATTTTCAAATAACGCATCCATGATCGATCAGACCCGAGACCAACAATGGTATCCCAGAGAATCTGAGTACATACATAAACCATCTTCAACACCAAGTTGACTATGAATAACCAGTCGAACTTGGAAGCCACGGAGTTGTCCTTCAAATGAGCAGAGTTGTCAAAAATCGTCCCAGACCTAATAGAAACATTTCAATGTGATGTACGTCGTCGACTATGGCACACGTGACAAGCTCCTATAAAATATCTACGAGCAACTGACCAACACTCCTTGATCTTCCATGCGACTGCCGCTTGGGCTTCTTCGGTGGTGCTGGGGGACGAGGTGGGCGCAGTCATATTATAATCGGTGATCATCCTAAAGCATCAGACCATGAGAGAAATAGGATCGACATTAATTTAGTTGAGAGGCAAGAGATACGAAACATAACCCACGCGGCACCGTACTGGTAAAGTGTGGCACGAAAGAAAGAATCAGTATAACACATATCACTGTGGTTAGAAGGGCACGGACTGACTGGATCACGCCAATCGTCATGGACTGCATCGAACATTCGAGATGGCAGTATCAATATATCTGCTCCGAAGGATCATGATTCATAGGGTCACGTTACACACCTATATCAATGATAGCTGTGAAGGTTATGAACCAATTCGCCAGTGCAAACCAGCTCATGAGTAATCTGAAAAGTATGGAGTCAGTGGGCAAGTTGAGCAAACAGTCTATCATACTAGATCAAAAGGTGTTTCTGGGTGATTATTTATTTACTGACCCAAAAGTAGTATAGAATGCCTGTACATGTAAAAAGAACATTCGGATGACATTGTGGCGGGATTTGTACATCCTTGGGAAATGCGCGAGTGACTGTATGTCGTCATTTATCAACACCAGATTCCAAGATAGGGCTTTGTCGAGTGTAAATTGATAGAAGCAAGAATACTGACGTAAATACCAGCGGCAAAAGATCCTGCTCAGATAACAACAAATGTATCAGCTCCACGAGAACTTTATGCGCATTGGGCTGCAGCTTACCGTTGAGCCACCTTCGTCGCTGTCCAATCAACTCCGCAGCGGACTCTGGAACATCAGTCTCCCCTTTGGCTGGTTTGACATAGCCCAACACCCACTTAGCGTCGGCTTTTGCGACCAATTCGAAGCAAAGGATTCGATCTTCGGCCAAGAACATATTCTGGCATACCTCAATGTGTTAGCAGCACTTCACATGAGAGAATGGATCTTTAAAAGCCCACCTTTTTGAAAATTCCCATTCCCTGATGACGAAAGAGAAGGCGAATCAGAACAAGGATCTTTATTTTGAGCATCACGAATACTCGAGGCTGCTGACCTGGATACCTTTTTTTCCGAGTCTGTCCGAAAGAGAGTGATCACCTACAATTGATGACATAGAGTGCGTAAGTTTGGTTATAGCTCTTAATGGTCAGGGATCTCGCCGAGGTCTTTGAGAACACGGTTCTAAAAATCACATACCATGGAAATATTGTTGAAGGGGCCTGCCCTGAATTGCGTTAAATCTGTAGGCCGAAAAAGCACCAGGTAGTACTGATACATAACCGAACGACGACTCCAAAGGTTTGTCGAGCACATCTAAAGAAGATGTCAAATCAAGAATTGGAGTTTGAACCACAAGGAGAATGAGAAGGGATAACTTACTAGACATCTGTGTTGAGGAGAGTTGATATCCAAAAAGTTGGACATTCAGATCAGCAAAGCATCGTTGTCATCTGTTCCTTCAGACGCACCTTGTATTCGAAATTTTGAGCAGCGACCAGAGGGTTAAGTAACTTTTTACCCCGGGCAACTGGAAATACGAGCGGTGATGTTAAGTGTTCAAAAGAATGAGGAATGTTAACACGATAGCAGATGCTTTTTGACTTACGCATTGCATGAATTTCTCCACAAGCACCTCCCAAGTCAGGATTATGATGAAAAGCTTCCCATAGATAGTACAAAGAACGATTGCCGGGCTTTGTTCCAGCATCGATCAAGATACAAACTTCGGGTTCTAGATGTTTCCCGATCGCATTGAACAACCATCTATGCGAGTTGATCTTTTTCTCATTCTAAAAAATTGCACAAGTGACATCAGTCGTGGTATAGAATGGAAGACCATAGAAACAGGTTTGCAGCTTCGTGACGTTACTTTTTGTTTCAAGACCAAAGTCATTTGGACAGGGACCATGTTGGCAGGATTGTTAGCATGCGGTTGGATGAGCTCGGGCTTAGGGCTCATTGAGAGAAGCGTAGTATACTGCGTTGTGTGATCAGAGTAATGAGCACATAGTACGAGATCAGAGCTCATCAGTTATGATCACACATTTTATCAAAGCAGATCAAAGACATGAACAAAATATGACTCACCTCAAAGACATGAGCATGGGTCTGCTTACCGTCAACTTCACGTTTCATCACTCCATCTTGATACAGACCGATTGTAGCCAGGACGTCTAATGTCGCTTTATCAGCAGGTTCAATACCGTCAAAAACTAGAACAACTGAAATCGCCTTCCACGCTTCTGTGGCTCCCGTCTCTAGTCCACCTCTTTACCAATTCAGAATCAGTCAGTTGACCCTCCGTTGACATGAATGCGAGGAACCCAAAGATCAAAGCAGGCACTCCACTTTTCGGCCACCTTACGAAATTCGCTCCACTTGGCTTTGCACATATCTCTCAAATTCAACATCACGCCATGTAGGGTACGGGCTACCAAAATCTTGTCCTCATTGTAGTATGTCTGCAATGAACGTTGGTAAGTTCAACACTATTTTTCCCGAGAGCAATCTGGAAGAAGAAAAGCACAAGAATACTGACGATAGCTACCAACAATTGAGTCTCACGACCGTAATTTTCTGTACGGAGCGTCCATCCTGCTTCTCTGGTAAAGTCATCTGGATCACAAGTCACAGCAGAGTAGCGCATGTGGGAGAACCTGTGTTGTAGTAACAAATGCAAATCAGATCTGACACAATTTTTCACAAGGAAAGACAGGAGCAAGATCTTCGACGAACTCATTCTTCTCGCCCGTGTAACCACCCGCCAGGTTTGCGTTCAGGACCGGAGCTAGAGACGAAGAAGGCTCAAGTCATAAGAAAAATAGAGGCATAGGAATGAGAAGAATAGAAGGACCAACTTGGGACAGGATATTCATGAACAAAGTTTCCTTGTTGAAGTTTTACTTTGATCGTCTTTGCACGGTTAGGATTGATACGCTGTCGTTTCCCCCAAGCCTCAGCACTGGTTTGCGACCTGTACAGACCGGCGGCACTACTGTATTGAGAATCGGCTGTATCACCTTCATTTCCAGAGAATGAAGGTACGGGAAAGCCGAAAGCCTTGACTGGATCGATGTCGGGCGGATAAGCTCCATCGCCAGCCCCTTCGATCTTGAAGCCCCCAACGGGTGGGTGTTCGGTGAAGCCACGACTTTTCAAAGGAATTTCTTCATTGCTAAAATCTCCATCGAAAGTTTGATCATGCTCGTACTTGTTCATGTCTTCGTTTGAATCGTAATGAGGATCGTCAAACGAATTCGGTTGATAATGAAGAGAGTTGGAGAACTCGATCGGCGGAGGATCATCTGCCTCAGAATCTCTCTCGGTGTATGAGTGATTCTGAGCAGTATGTTGGGAGAAAGGGTCACGATATGACATCTTTCTCAGAGCTTCTTAACGAATTTCAAGATGGAAATTGAAGATAGGAAGAGGGTTAGAGATTCTTGAATGATCCTGAAAAGGAAAGGTAACTCAAAGGTAAATTGGTGTCAGTATACCGATACCAATGGAGACTTGTGGCTGTGAAGGGAGTTAGAGAGATGGAAAATCAAATCTCGAGGAATAGCGAGTTGAGATGCAATTAGGCACAGGGAAAGAAGTCATGATGACTTGAGATCAATTAGTAACTAAGACAAAGGAAAGACTGTAACTGACCTGATGATTGTGGCAAGATCAAGAAAGGGAAGTTGTCAACTATACGCGTATAAAGCAGTGTAGAAACCAACCAAAGTGTTGATTTTGAACTTGAAGATAAAGGAATCTCTGAAACTGAATTAATCACCAACCACTTTTACTAGTACTGGTAGGTGAAAGGGCAAATAAACCAATCAACAAACTGGCGGGGTTACAATCTATGATGTGATGAGTTTTAGTTTGCTTTTTTTCATCTCAGTGGGTCATAAATTATAATCCAATCTGGACATCTCCCTTGAGAATACGCACACTTTTCTTGAAAATCTGGCGTACATACACATCAAATCCGAAAATCCGCCTTACTTGAGGACTCCAGACACACGTAAGATGACGTTATGATCTACAGGCTACTTACGTGGAATGACATCGTAATCTATATTAATCCGATCTTAAGCAATTAAGAATTCACACAAGCATCATAGTTCGATGAGGTTTGATGTTCACTTGTGAGGATAGGATGTGTTCCATATTCAACGACCTTTCTTAACAAATTTGAATGGAACATCAGCGTCATCTCAAACATGAATCTCAACTATGTACAAGTACTGATCTATCCTCTTTCTAAGCGCCAAACGCCGGTTTCCGGCCAGTTCTTATAAATTGTCGAGATTGCGCCCGGGACGCCCAGGAAGTTATCAAGTATCAAACCCGATGGATGAGAGGTTCGGTGGCCGGTTCCGCAAGTGTACGAGTTCGCCATAAGTTCGCAAGTTGCCCTCAAGCCACGTATGTTGCTGCAGTAGCTGGCCAGCAAGTTATGATACATCCCCCTTCCCATCTCTTGTTGAATTATGCATGTCGGTCAATCTCATGGATATGAAATATCTGAAGTTCAATTTTTGTCTTACATAATCAAGCCTTGAGACTCGTTCAGAATCACAAGTCTCATGCCGAATGGGGTTGCCAGAAGTTTGCCAATTTCCCTCAAACTATTTATTTTGTAAGTACACTAGAGAGCAAAAGAATATACATACCCATTCTTACCCCTTCTCTTTGTCTTGTTGATTTGTATTGGGCCTCAATTTAGGACATCAGAATATTGGATTTCTCTTCTGAACTGTGATCTTGAATATCAAAAACATGACACTATAAAACGAATTGTTATCTACAGCCGGTCCTATAAACCTTGGACAGTTGTCTTTTGCTTTTGTTTTTGTAAATGAGCAAAAAGCATTAAAAAACACTTCTACACCACAAAGACACCTTGTTGCAGGAGGATGTCCCAACTGTCCTACATCAAGACATTGGGATGGCATCTGAGATGACCCTGAGGTGGGTCATCCTCATGTCATCCTTATGGCGGTGTCCTCAGTCAAAACACATTTTGGAATGCGCTGTGACGGTGTCTGAGGGGGAAATCCGGTGGACTCCTTGCAGGAGACCGTGTCAGGAAGTCTTGCCCTCTGCACACAAAGAGGACATCCTGGATGTATCTGAGTTTCCTTGTGGTGTATATGCTGTTTTTTTGTTCATTAGCTCTCCTCTATCAACACTGCCACAATTACAATACTGGTATCGTATCGACAATACTCAGTAAAGTAACGGTTCTACGATACTGAGGAATCCGATTCTCAGTGACGTATCTGTAAGCACAATATGATACTCAGTAAAGTATAAGAGACAAGCTCAGCTGCTAGAGCTCTGAGTTCCACAAGAGAAAGATGTGGAACTGGAGCTGATGCTGACTGCCGGCTCTTATAGAAGACCGATTGGGAATGCGCCGCGGTCGTGCCACGTAGGCATGAGAACAGACTACAACATAAAGTATCGCGGTGACAATACTATGTCGCCCAGGACCCAGTAATTTATCTTGTCATGATACCAATCGGATACTGATACTGTATTGTAGTATTGCACTTCCAGACATACAAACAATAGAGATTGTATACTTGATACTTCCCTGGGCCCATTCCGGTATCAGCCTGAGCCCCGACCCGAAAAACGCGGGTAATGGCCTGCCCGCACCCCGAACCGATATCCAGTAGGCTCCCCCGCGCCCAAACCCTACCCGAACCGATCAAAACCCGGCTTCCAGAAGGCCCCCCGACCCCTAACCCAAATGCCTAGAACCCGCGGGAAGCCGGGGGTCCCCGCGGATAAGATCGGGGGTTTGAGGACTAGCCCCCCCCGCCCCCGAACCCTACGGGGCCCCCGATGTACTGGGGTCCCAAAAAAGGTGACCGAACCCGCACCCCGAGGGTTCGGGTCTCGGGGAACCCTCGGGGTGTCGGTCTCGGGGCTCAGGCTGATTCCGGTATTGTACTCGGGGGGCAATACGATACTCAGTAAAGTACCACCATCCACAATACTGCCAGGAGGGTCGGGCAGTAACATATCAGTGGCTGCAATACTGATACCAACAATACAATACTGAAAAAAAAGTTACGATAACGTTACTTTACCGGTACTGGTAAAGTAATTATGGCAGTGTTGCCTCTATCAGTACTCTGGAAGAAAAAGTGATATTTTATAAGTATATACTGCTGTATTTTTTATTTTTTTTTATTTGAAAAGCACAAAATTGGCCCCGTTATGAGTTTTACCCAAAGCTGGGTCTGCTGGCCAGAGAAATCAAAGCCTTGTGCAAACCATCTGGCTGGCCTGCAAAATTGGCCCGCTGCTGGTCATTTCACATGATGTACAGGCATTTTGCATGTATTTGAATATGCCTGTGTGTCACACAATGAAAGGGCTTACCGAGTACCTTCTCAATGGCTATCTACTATATCTGTTTGTGTTGAAATCATTATCTGATTGAATTTTTCTTCTGGGTGGGCTTTTTTTTGACTCAAATGACAATTTAAAGAGACCCAGAAGCCCGTTGAGTCCATCCAATGAACAAAGCAGTAAACAAAAAAGTCTTAACCTCAAGGAGCCAAATCAGTCATCAAGACCTTGGCTACCTTGACTTTTTCAATTTGTTGGAATTAATTTATTACAAACTTCACAAACTGATGATCCACCTTCATTGCTAGAGTGTTCTTTACCCAATGTTTGGATTAAAGAAATTGATAGACTAGGAAGAGAGTTCTATGTAAAGGAAATCACTCATCAAACAAGCTTTGAGTTTTCTTAAATTGAAGATGATAAACTAAATGTATAAAGAAAATACAATTGATTTCAAAAACCTCAAAATCACCTCTTTTTCTTCCTGACATTGATAGGGAAGAAATTACTCAATATGATCAAAACAGTCAGACTGGATCTCCTTCTCTTGACCTTTCATCTACTTCTGACAGTCAAGATATACCTCAAAGAAATTGGCTAGATCTTGAATCACTTGGACATCTTCAAACTTGGTCATCATTCAGTAGGACAATGAAGGTGATCAACTATGTAAAACCCTGGTGACCGTTCATTTCATTCTAGGAGATCACAATACACAGGACATTGGTTTGAGGAAATTGAAAATTGCAATGTGACTGCGTTGACAGATCTGTAATTGGATATGTCTACGGTGTTGGTTGTACTGGCCAGCGCCCCACAGCCTGCTCTGGTTAGTCGCTTTGCACAGGGCTGCTATTGCTCACATCCAGCCTCACGAAACCATCCACTGTCAAACACTTCCACCACGGATCTTGATTCATTTCTCATAATTTCTCTTCCTTATCTATCCAATGGGCTACATCAAATACTCCCCTGACATCAAGATCACCGCAGTACACCTCAAGATAGAAAATCCTCTGCTTCATGGAATCTGAGAGTCCTCTGTACGGTGAGGCATGGGTTTGGTACAGCACCACAATGATGTCTGATATGACCAACTGCCTGACAGGTCAGACGTTCACACAGCCTTCAACTAGAATCCATTTCAGACCTTTCCAGCTATGACTCTCTCATCATTCGATGAGATGGACACAACTGTATATCACCACCAACCCAGTTTTAGCCAATCCTCAGTTCTACAAAGGCCAAGGCGCTTCAAACATACTCTCAGCAGGCCAATGAGGATTCATTACAGAAATGCTCAAAGATGACCCAACATTGTATCTGGACAAGATTGCTGAGCGTCTTGAGGCTCGGACAGGAGCCCTGATTTCAATCTCTGCACTTGTGATTGAAATCTGAGACTGTCTGGTCCTCACTCGGAAGGTTGCAAGAACAGTACATCCTAACCATTCACCGATCTGCCATGGTGAATACCTTTATGAAGTTGGTGGAATTAGACCAGAATGTCTGGTATTCCTTGGTAAGTCTGTCTGTTTCTTTATCCTAGTCTCAATCCATCCAGCTTACAATCTCATCATTGTAGGTAGATGAGAGTGCTATAGCCAAGTGCTGGCTGTATCGTTGGTATGCCCAATCTATTTGAGATCAACAGACTGAGCGACTCCAAAGACGTTACCAACTCCACTCAATTCACTGTACTGCCAGCAATCTCGCTGGAAGGGAGTATTGCTCTTCAGGTCAAAGAGGGGTCTTTTAAGAGAGTGGACTTTGAATCCTATCTTGAGAATAATCTGGTAAGAAGACTCAAAACTATCATTCTCACACCTCAATCTCACTTCTTAACTAATATGTTGTTTTTCACATTCATTCATAACTTAGCAACCAATGATGAAACCGTGGCCCAAGGTCAATAGCTGTCTTGTACTCGATAACACTCTGATCCACCATGGTGGTGAGATCAAGGATCTGTGTGAACAATTTGGTGTGCAATTACTTTTCCTTGCCCCATACAGCCCCCACCAAGAAGGCTTTCTCAGTCATAAAGAGTTGCTTACGTTGGACACAAGCACTAATTAGTGATCTTACTTCTGAAGAAGAAGCTGAGATTATTTATACTACAGCTGAAGATGTATTAACACCATGTTTGATACATAGCCTTTATGAGGGCTTGGTTTATCTGTAATCAAACAGTAACACAAGCAACCAGACAACAAATTGAATACAAATCACAATTTTCCATCATGAATCTAACTTCAATAACAACTATATACATATCTCAATCTATTTCATCTTTGAATTTTTCCTTTGAAGATATTGTGTGAAGTGATTTTTACTAGTTCTATTCAACTGGGAAGACTTTCAAAAGAGTTGATAAAAATTGATTGTAGATTCTGATGTCTTTCTTTGGCCTTTGGTCATGTACAAAGTTGAGTGGTATATTAAATTGTTAATTGAATCTGAC